ATTTAAAGGCCCCAAGCTGTAACTGTATTTACTATCCCCACTGTGCTTAGAGCAGCTCAAGAATTCCACTTGGTATCATCTGGTTTGCATTAGCACAAGGGTATTGATTGCCGTGACTGGGACAGTATTATTTTGCAATTTGCCTTCCATAGAAACACCAGTTGTGAATGGGAAATGCATTAAAAATGGACCAAAATCCTTCTATTTCAGCCACAAATATGTATGTCACCAAACATATGGTAAAGTGGGGAAAAATACATATGCTGGGAGTAGGAAGCCTGTAAAATAATCGAAGACAGAGGTGGGAGCATGTCTTGTCAAATGTATCTTATTCTGTGGCCTTCACTGAAGCTGTTGTCATGAAAGTGATGGTTTGTTGTACTCTTTGCTTAGCATAAGGTAACTGATCACTTCTCCCTCCTAGATCAACAGTGATAGTAGAGGCAACTGGTGAAACTATATAGGGGCTTACAGAAGCCTCAGGGACAGAGGAAAACTGCACAAAGGGACATGTTGTGCATGTTTGTGTTCTGGGCATAAATGTGTGTACTGCTGTGGTGGGGGTGTGGATGAAATGGGGGCTGAGGTGTGCATGAATCCAGCTGTCCCCATCTGTGAGAAGGACAGACCCCAATGGTGAAGTGGCTTTTTCTTAATTAAAATACAATTAGTTAAAGAAAGGCCTGAAGCAGCTGATAGTCCATTGAGATCTTGTCCATTAAATACCTCTTAGTGAAGTCACTATTGTGTCCTGCAGTATCTGATGAATTTAGTCTGCTGTTCAGCACTGGGTCTTGCTACATAATAAGGAGCCTTTAAAAAACACTCGGGTTAAGGAGCTGGGCTGAGCACATAAATGTGTGCTGTAGTGGTATCTACAACAGCAATACTCAGCCCTAACTAATGTCATGTGTTCTGCAAGTGAACTTAAAATAGCACATGTTGAAACTGGGGGATGAGAAACGTAATTGCCTGTGCTCTGCACTGGAGTGGTACCTGAAGCACTTCTAGATGCCAACAGCAGCTAGTCCAAGGTACTTACATGAGTTTGAAACAATACTTGAAGACTTCACAAGTGTCTTGAACTTTAAAGGCAAATCCCAAAGGGTGAGTAAGGTTGAATTACAGCCTGGTTTGAACCAGAGCTAGTATAAAACTCATCTAGTCTGAGCCAGTGTAGATGTGCAGAGTTCATCTTTCCTTCCAGTGATGCTGCCCCCTCTCCTTAACTCTTCTGCAGTGGTTTCTCCCTTCAATTCATTTTTCACTTGCGCTACCTGTCTCAAGAGACTGAGTCACAGTCATAATGTGTTTGAACTCCCACCTGCAAATTTCCATGTTCTTGGCACATTTGCTGACACACAATTGATTCAGCTTTCCCAAAGGCTGTCTCACCTGGGAGAATGGTGCTTTGCTCTCTATTACCAAGGTCTCTCTCTCTGTGTACCCTTTAACACCATCCACCAAATCATCACGAAGCTTTTCCATTACCACAGTCTTCCCTTCCAGCTCTTTGCTGAATACCCTTCCTTCTGCTAATGTCAATTTTAAGCTCCAGCATTGTATCCCTTCAATCCCCTTGTGACATCTGCTTTCACATCCCTAAAAACCTCCTACTCTGCTATCACTGCTTCATGCAACACTCTCCTACTCCACTTCTGGTGCACAAGGAGGAGTCTGTAAGCACATCCTCATTGCCCCTCTGGAGGAGGACTTTAGTCCAGCCATCCCTCCTGGTTTGCTCTGATGTTTCTATGTCACCAGGACCTGAATGAGTTGGCTATTCATGCCAAAATGTTTTCTGAGTTCTGGATTTCTAGATTGGTTGTTAGTTACAAAACCACCATTAGTCAGTGTTAGGTACTTACACTCGCTCCTCTGAAAATGTCACAAGTGGTGATGCTTCAAATCACCTCTTCTGTCATTTTTCTCTCATGTCTGCTCCTGCAGAAAGCCAGTCCTGGGTGGAGGACTGGGTGGGAGCTGGGGTGGTAGCCTGAGATGGGTCTGCCAACTCTTTGGGCAGCCTGCTATGGACAAGCCCAAAGGAGCACAAATACTCCTTTTTACCCAGCTATTGCGTTGTGTACAGAAGATGTGCAGCTGTTTCCTTTCTTTTTTGTGGGACAGTGTGTAAAGACTGAGAGTTTGCAGCCCATGCTGGCTGGGAGGAAGAAGCACGAGGATAGTGCTCATAAGCATTTCCTATGGGAATAGAAAACAGCCCCATCTCAGTGTGCTCCCTTTCAGAGGGTACTTGCCAACAAGCTTAATTCTACAGCGTGATCCAAACTGGAGCAGGAGACAGCCCCTTCTGCTGGCCAGGTTAACCTTTTCCCTTTGCATTCAAGTTCTCCATTTGCTTATAGCTTCCCTAATGAACACAGCCAGCAGAAAAGTCTGTACCTTAATGTGCAGTAGTTACCCAAGTGAGGAGCACTTCTGTGGTGCTTCCATAGAGGAGAGCCGACCAGCTGGTTTTAACAGCAAAGAGTTAATCTCCATGACATAACTGCCTGAAACAGTTTCACCTCATAGGATGAGTTAAGAGTTTGACTGTTCTGCTTGACTATTATTTTGATGGCTACTGTTTAGCAAATTGACCCCATGCCTCCTTCTTTCAGTGATGGAGTTTAATTTACAATTGTTTCTGGGCATCCTGCTCCTTGCCTGCACTGCCTTCTATGACTAGCTTTAACACTATTACTTTTGTTATTGACAGTCATCTGCAGCCAGCAGAAGTTTTATGCTGACAGGCAAAGATGATATGCTGATATTAAGAATTCCAAGGCAGCTGAAATGTGAAATGGTATCTCACTTGCCTGTGAAGTCTGTCTTTATACTGAACTATTAAAATGCTAGACTGATTGGGGTGTTTTCTCATTGCAAGCAACTTGTCATAAACTACTCATGCACAACCATGTTCATATACATAAAATGTTCAGTAGTGGTATTGGAATATAGTATCTCACTAGATATATCTACTTGCTTTGTATCTGTATTGTTTATGCAATAAATATCACATTTACATTTAGACGTGGAGCTGGAGTCATACATGCAGTGGTGGTGGCTTTGAGAATGTGACTGCACAGGCTTTCCCCAGCAACTTCCCTAGGCAAATCCAGGCAGGAAAATACCACATCACACACATCAACCAGGGCAAAACTTGGTCTTCCTACAAGAAATTATTATCCAGAAGGAAAGAACCCAGTTTGAAGCTCAGATTCTGGGGAAAAAAAATAAGACTATGTTTGAGAACAAATTCTCTAAAGCAGCTGTACTCCTGAGCCAGACAGCTCTCCCAACATTAAAGTGAGTTTGAACAATGGTACTATCAACCAGAAGCTGATCTAATTTAATTTACAGTGTCTGTCTAGGTCAGTGTCATCCTCTCTTCTGTGAGACATGCACGTCACCACACTGGAGAACTGGGGAGTGAACTGCATTGCTAGAAAACGTTATCATGCACCAACAGTAATTAGCAGAGGTCCTGAACCATGAGGGAGTTTTATATTCCTTATGCATTAGCTAACTAGACTCTTCTCACAATCTATGTAAATAATTAAGTTTCCAAGGGTATTGGGCTAGAGGGCTCCACAGGCTATTTACACACTGTGGAGTATTGAATGTGTGCTGGTTTTTTTATCCTTAGTCTGACTGTTCTTGTATCCTGTGAAAGGATTCAGTTCACTTCTCCATGCTTTTTCCTTCTTTAGATGTATTTTATCGCATTCCCTTCCACTTATTTCTTCCCTAAGTTAAAAGTTCCAGTATTTCCAGCCTCTGCTTACTCACAACTTGTACCTTGTGCTTGTACTTGTACCTCCTGTCTTTTTGAAGATCCAAACTGATCTTGGTTTTGTGCTGCCAACTGTTTTGTGGATGAACTTGACAGAATTCAAGACATGCAAAGAGCAAAAGAGTTCTCTCAGCAGAACTGTTGCCCTATCACATGAATCTCTATATTATACGAGTTCCCAAATGAACTTTCAGTACCTATTCTACATAATAAATTACTGCTGCCTGATCATTTCATTTCTAAGACACCAATTCCTTCTCAACCTATGAACTCACTAAATAACAAAAGGGACAATATCTGTGGACCTCACTGTTGCGGAGGCAAGTGCTGATTTGGACTGGCTGTGGATGTAGCTGTTAATGTAAGAACCTACATTCATAGAATGGTTTGGGTTGGAAAGAACCTTAAGATCATCCAGTTCCAACCCCTGCCATGGGCAGGGACACCTCCCACTAGACCATGTCACCCAAGGCTCTGTCCAACTGGTATGGCCTTAAACACTTCCAGGAATGGAGCACCTACTACCTCTTTGGGCAGCCTGTTCCAGTGCCTCACCACCCTCACAGTAAAAAAACTACTTCTTATATCTAATCTGAACTTCCCTGGTTAAATTTAAACCCATCACCCCTTCCTGTCCTATCACTACAGTTCCTGATGAAGAGTTCCTCTTCAGCATCCATTCACAAAATCTCTGCATGTTTTTCAAGTTTGCCACAAAGATCTACAGGTCTGGGTAAAAGCTTTGCAGAGCTTTGAAATACATCTTCAGTGCATAAGGAGAAAGGTTTGTACACTCTTCCAAGTGCATGGGAGAATACGAAAGCAGTACACTAGACTATAGTAGTCCTGGTTGTAAATTCTGTACTTTGTTGTCTCTGCAGACAACAAAGAACATTGTTGTTTTAAATAATTACTGAATGCTATCTTCGTCTTTATATTTAATAGCTTTTTAATACAAAGAGTAATATATCTTCCAGGAATAAGTTTTATGTTGGGGTGAAAAATAGCCTCCTAAAGCCATACCTTTAAAAGGATAAAAAGATAAAGGACGCGTGTGTCCTAACAGCAGCCATTCCATGAAATATGCTGAGCTAGCTCCAAGACTTAGAAGGAGGATAAACCTTTTTCCAGACTAAGCCCCTAACAAGAGATTATATGTGAGCAACATAACCTAGAGGAAAAACTTGCTACAACCTTTTTTTTGTCATAACTAAGATGCATTTACTGAGCACTGCATGATTCCTTCCTTGCAGAGGAGTAGCCTTCTTGATATTTACCCCCTCAAATATATGCTGAAGTAGCTTCTTCCGGCTGGTGTGCTTATTCTGCAAATTTTCTATCAAAGGGGGTTGCAGGGCTTTCTGACAAGCCATCAAAAGCAGAGCGCTCACGGAGCCATTCATGCTTCCTTACTAACTCTTCTGTTGCGGCTTCAGGGGCCCAAATCTACAAAATAAAGATATTTGTAGTTATTTTGGACTGCAAGTGAGGTATGAAGATGATACTGTGAGCCAAATAGAGCTGTGTTCTAGCACTCCTTTCCATCCCAAGACATAGAAGAAAAATGGTGCGGCCTCCTGGCGGAAGATACCACAACAATTTGTGTAAGTATAAGCAGAACAGTCTCTAGTTGCTGCCAATCTCTAACATGCCATAGGCTCAGATGAGGGATAATGTAGGAAAGATGATCCAAAGCTAATTGTTCAGAATGACTGACTTGGGCCCAAGATCCTCAGAGTGGAAAACAGTAATTAGTCATAGAGTCACTGATGATGTAGCCTTATTCCCCCGAGACCATTGCAGAAACTGGCACAAATCAAGCTTAGGGAAATGGTAAATAACCTCTAAACAAAATTGCTCAGTCAGCAATGGTCGTGCTCTTCTTTTTAAGCAGAGGGGAAAAAAAAAATATTACTTCTGTGGTCATCTTTCTCTGTTTTTTGGTTATTCTTGAATGAGTATTAACAAGTCCCTAATATAAAAATTATATTTTCAGTATTCTAACTCAAGGAGGTAAATATTTAGTGATCCATTCAGATCAGTAAATGTCACTTAAGCAATCATGGGATAATTAATTGAGAAGGCAAGTTAGAAGTTGGTGCTGGTCCCATGCACAAGGACTCCTCTCCTTTAAGTGCACATAGTGGCATTTGTAATTTTACTGTGGGTCCAATTTAATCCTATTTTAAAACCTGGTAAGGGCTTGCTTTCCATGATAATTTGTTTTATATAAATATATGTGTATATATATAAAGTACACATAAACCTATGCGGACTCTTTAGTTTACTGTTGTTCTAAGGCAATCTCTCTAGCCTGCGTCATGTCATCTACAAGCAGCTAGTTGAATTGTGAAGGTGTTTCATCAAATTATTCTGGGTTTTGATCTACAGCAAGGTCTACCTTTCCATTAACATTGAAACCATGCTTGTGTTTTGCTACTGTACATACTTTTCTGGGTTTGAATGTGATGTCCTCTTTCTTGGTAGCACCACTGGCTATCAGAGAATTCAGATAAATAACGCTGTCCTTAAAGGGCTGTGTTGCCTTTTCAAGAATGGATGTTTCTTCATCTGCCAGTGGTATCTGTGAAGACTGAAAGAGAAGTTACCAGTTACACATCATGCCCAGAAGCAAGGCACACATCCTACATCTTCAGATACTTCTTCTGTTTTCTGTTTACTGTGGGTGTATTTTTCTTAATCTGTTCAGAATCTGTTTTTCCTAAAGCTTGCTATTTATTTTATAACCAAAACTTGTGACTCAAAGAGGATGACTGTCCTTCTTGGACACTAAAACATTAACTGCTCTTCAAGACTTGAGACAACCACCTAGTGCCACTGGTGATCCCTTCCTGTGCCAGGTCATGGCTAAATTAGCATCTACAATTGTCCTCCTCCTGCCTAACAAAGTCCTACACTATCCCTGACATTCAAATTATCTCTGAAAGGGGGAAACCAACATTTGGCTACTGGGAAATACTTACTACATCATCCAGGGCAAGACTGCTGAAGGACACTTCCAGCAGTGTAGCTACAATTGCATTTTTTCCCTAAATGGCATCCTGGGTTTGACTAACAAGTACCACTGGTAAATCAAGATCTCATTCACTGTAAGATAGCCAGAACGTGGCCACAGAGGCTATATTTGCTTGAACTAGGGCAATGGTAAGGTACTCGAGGCTCCTGGGTATCCTGTAAAAGCATTCAGTAGTACAACAGTCAAACTCAGTGTGGAGTTTAAGAAACAGGGCTCGTGTCAACAGTAAAGAGGAAGGTTAAGAGACAAGATGGGAAATCAGAAGTCAGTGAGCCCAATATTGAATAAAAGAGTTCTGTTAGCAGAATAAAAAGACCTTTCTACTAATTTGAAGGGCCTTGGTCTTATCTGTGAAGAAACAGGTGCTCCCTTGAAGAAATTAAGCTTACAAGTTGCTTGGTATTTACAACAGAGCTGGATGATCATAAACTTCAGGAGGAGGGGGAAAAGAGGAAATATTTTTCTGTGTCCCATCAGTGATACAGGATACAATTCTTAAGTGGGACTGTGAAAGACATGAAGTTCATATAATTAATATGTCAAAATTTCAACCAATGAACAAGTAATAGTACTGGCAAGAACAAGTTCTGGCTTCTGAAAATACTTGAACAAAACTGCATGATTTATAGCTTTAGAGAGACATGGATGGCAAACAAATGAAAGGAAGCAATGTTCTACCAACTATTAGGAAATCAATCCTTTGTTACTATTTTTCATACCTCTCTTTTTGCAGCTTGTTCCTCTGCAGGCTTTGGTGTAGAAGATGCCTTTTGTTTCACAGCTTTTTCTTTCTTTTCTGGTACTTCTGGCAAATTGTCCAGTTTATTCTGGAGCAGATCAATTATTCTAGAATCTGCAAATACTTTAGCAATATCAAGAGGATTCTTTCCTGTATTTAAAAAAATAAATACTTGCATAAGCCATGAAAATGAACCTCAGTCCTTTGCTATTTCAACTGGATAATGAAAACACAGTCAACTGAATTTAATTAGGCCTCTATTTTACTAACCATTCAGTGTGCCAGCAGCATGCCTGACATCATGTGAAGACTGGCAGGCATCTGCACTGTTTGCCAGAAATAAAGCCTTACAGAAATGAGCTTTGAAACCAAGTATTGCAGGAATTCTTGGAGTGGTAACTTTGCTCTTAATGTCCTGACATTTGCAGCTTAATATACTGGTCCTACAGGTTGCAATTTTGACTTCTGAGAGCATTTAGCACTAGGAGATAGCTAGCACAGTACAAGGTTAGGAATGTAGACCAAGTTATTGTAGGTCTCTACCTCTTCCAGTACTTGCTCTGTGGCTGGCAAGGAGTCAAGGGAAAGCCCCATGGTTTAAATGGGGCTGAAAACCTTCAGGGCTTAATAGAGGACAAACTCTTCCAGATCTTATAAGGTGAGATGCTGTGGGTGTAAAGTAGTTGTGAGCCTAAACTGCTGTGTAAATTGGAACAACACAGAAATAATTCCTTCCACAAGCAGGGTTTCACCTAGTAGGCATTTTGGCAAGGAAAATCTCATTATGTAGCAATGTTGCTTCCTCTGGTAGAGCAAGAGCTTATAATGTGACAAATGCTGTTTAATTTACTCCAAAAAGAGAGGAAATAACACTGCATGAGGGATCTGCTGTGAGGAGGTAACACTTCAGTATCAATTTGATTTGTTTTTCTCTTAAGTACTTTTTCTCAGAGAGTAATATTTACATGCTAAGCAGCAAGAAATATTTTAACCTGTGCTGCCTGTGCATAAAAACTAAATTATTTAAATGTGCGGCAGAGTATACACTGGCCACAACTGAAATCTAATTTTCCATCAAATAATATTAAAAAGTAGATAGATTTTATTCATTAAAGCCACTTATAACTGTATATATCTTGTGAGGAGCAACAGACTTCTTAATCATGTAATTAATCATGTTACTTTATTTCCTAGAGGCATAAAACCCAAGAAAGCTGACTACTTACAATAGTGATTCCTCACTGTAGAAAACTAATTGTGCCTCTTACCTTCATCCTGGTCCTGACAGTGATCATAAATTCAGAACACTTCTCAAAGCATTCCAAGAACTTATTTTTGTTTGGGGCTTTTTAATAAAACATGGATACATGTAAGGAAGTGGGCCTGTTTTGGGGATGTTGATACTTACCATTGCTGTTTGTAGCTTTGACATCTGCACCCTCTTCAAGTAAAAAATAGACAATATCCAGTCTGGAGATCTCAATGGCTCTCATTAGTGGGGTTGCATTGCCCATTGCAGGTGCATCCACTGCTGCTCCAGCCTTCACTATCAGTTTGGCAATATCGAGGTGTCCATTATAGCAAGCATGATGGAGAGGAGTCCACATGAAATTGTCTGTTGCATTTACATCAGCCCTGCAAAAGAATATGAGAAGGGGCAGATGAAGCTATCTACTGGATACAGGAATGTCAAAACAAGCAATGTTAACTGCCCCTGCAATGGCATATTCAATGTGAATAAACGTTTTCATATTGCTACTGCTACTCTGAAGCCATTTTAGTATCCAATGTATGGCTTGTCATGGAATATTCATTGTCAGAGTGTGCCTGGGTGGTGATCACATCCCCCTCTTAGCCGACAGTGTCCTTTACATGGAGGTTTTCACAGGTACAGAGGAAAACAGGCATTCAAACACCATAGTCCTTTAAAATGCTGCTTGTGTTTGTGCTTCAGCTTCGCTGATAACGACAAAATACAGATTAAGGACTTCATAAAAGAATGCTTTTGGGCCAAGAGCAGATGGAAAAATTGCCAATTTAGGGAGTTAGAGAAAGTCTCTCAAAATCTGAGCCTTTAGAACTTTTTCAGCCACTCTGTTGCTGTACTACAGATCTGTTTCTGCTCCCAGGCTTAACTGACATGTTCTGGAGGATGCAAGGGCTAGTTTGGATTTGATATTTGCACTCTGCTGCCTTTGGATGAAGCTGAGAGGAAAAGCACTATCAGTCCTTTAGCAACTTGCTGCCTTGGAAGCTTTTGGGATGGGGTCATGCAAAAGCAAGGCTTGGGGAACCACAGCCACAGGAGCCTCTTAAAGGTGTTAAAAGGGAAGAAATACTGTTCCCCCACATCTCTGAAGAGAGCACAGATCATGCCCATGCCCAGATCTGTGTGCCATGTGTGGGTTCAGAGTGGGCCAAAGCCTCATGAGGGGATTCCGCAGTAGTCAAGCAGAGTGAGTTACTTGCGCCTCATAGTGAAGACAGCCTGAACTGAGTTAGGGTCACTGTCCCATTGGCTCTAGGGACAAAGTGCTGACATCTTTCCAAAAGACATGGAAGGAATGAAAAGGAAGAAAATTATGGAGTTGCTTCCAGGGACAGCTCGTTGTTCTTCAGGTCAGATGGTTAATATTTAACTCTAGATCAAAAGAACAGATTCATCTGTTTTTCTTTACTCAATTTTAACATTTTTCAGTATTCTGCTTTTGGTGAGATGTTATCCCAGTAATTCCCCATGCCTACCAGTTTTGCCTTTGTTATCTTTCAGTTGCTCAGCCCTTGTGGTTTATTTGTATGCACCATTCAGTGCCTTTGTACTTCTCATTATAATATGAAGTTACTCCACTTTCTCTCCTGACCCATCCTCCATGCCTGTACCAATACTTTGCCCCTGAATCCTTTTCACTAACTTTATTCTATCAGAAACAAACCAATCAAAGGGAACAGCAACAACATAGCACTGACTTAGTATTTTTTCCTGATGAAGCACTGAATTTGCCTTAAGCCCAAATTTAATTTACTTCTGAGTCTTTCTGGAACAAGACAGAAAGTAGATATCACGAATTTATGTTTAAACCTCAGTGTTTTCCACAGCTCTGGATAAATGTTTTGCTTCTATTCGATATGAATTTGTGATACTGTACTGAAGAGGTTATATTGTAAAAAGTATTTACACTCCCATGTCAAATTGAAAGTACCTGAAAGTCCACACTACTGAAAGATGCAAAGCTAAACACTGTCCTGATAACTTTCCTCTCCATGTTCTGACTTCTGCCAATTTAAAAACCTCAAAATTGATACTATTTTAAAATAGTATTTTAATAATAGTATGTCCTGCTGAACCCAGGACAGACTGTTACATTTCTAGGGCTGTTAAACATGAGGAGATGTGACTTCAGTGTTGTCTTGTGAGGCTTGACAAAAGTAGTGGAGACTAATTTGATAGATTTATTTGCTAACTCTTGCATCTTTATCCAAGATTGCCTTGCTCATTTCAGGTGAGTCACTTGAACCAGATTTCCCAAAAACCATTCATCTGATTTTGAGAGTTGAGTTTTGAGGATGCACCATTAGAGACCACAGCTGTGACTGGCACTTTGCCTCTGATCAAAATGCTAACAGCCCAGGCACCCAAAACCTTCAGACCTGGGGAACTTACCTCTTGGCTGTTTCTATTTCCCTGTTAATAATGTGAAAAATAATAAACTAACCCTCTGTGACTCAGGATCCTATGGAACTAACTTTAATATTGAAGTTATATAAATAAAAACCAAACCATGGTCTGTTGCATCCAAATGCTGGAAATTTTTGCTTTTGAAAGCCTCTCCAAAATAGCAATTAAAAAAAAATATCTCTGAAATGATCTTACCCCTTTTCCAGAAGATACTGCACAAGAACTATGTTCCCACTTGCACATGCAACCATCAAAGGTGTTTTGTAATATTGATCTTTTACGTCTATGTGCACACCCTCCTCAAATGCTTTCTGCAGAGACAGAAAGTCTGCTTTTCTGACAAGGTAGTTAATGCTCATGTACGTTTTCCTTGGCTCATCTATGTACCAGGCACGGTCATCATGCACGGGATGGGCAGATGGGTGGTCTCGGTTAAAATGGGAGATGTCAGCAAGATTTTGGATAGCCTCAACCATGTACACAGGGAAACCATCTTCTCTAAGGGGACATGTGCCCTTTGGCATAACACAAATTGGCACAGGAACAGCAACACCTTTTTTGCCTCTTCTTTTCTTCCCTTTCTTCCTCTTCTTCCCTTTGGGTCCATAGGATGTGATAAGATAATTTTTTTGCAAGTATTTAGAGCCTTTTAAAAAGTCTTCAATGCTGATTCCATCAGCCTGACGTCCTTCATGCATTTCAGCAATAGCTTCTAGTTGTTCAGTGTCCACAAAGGAACAGTGCTGCTGGATAAGGGCTATAAAACTGTCTTTAGTCACCTTCCCATCTCCTTGGTCGACAGCCTCCAACGCCTTGCGGAGGGCAGCCTGGTGCTCCAAGGACCAGTCGTACAGCCTCACAGCCCACTGGGGGTTTTCCTCCTTATCCTCAGTCTTGGACTGTTTTGCAAAGGTCTTCTCAATTTTACGCAATTCTGATACTGCTGCTTTAAAACCACCATCCTTGGCGATGGCTCTTGGTGTCTTTTTTGCCAAGTTTATCCATGTAGGATCACAGCCTAAAAATATGGACACAATTTTGCTGGTAATGCAGTGGAATTCATAATTATATAGAAAACCTACAATTAATTATGTAATTATGTATATAAGAGACTTGTACTATATATGCAACTAATTGCTACAGGTCTCCAATTTTATACTGTTTTAACTATAAATGGTGATAGAAGATTTGTTTTCCAAAGGGAGGTTCATGGGGCAACACATGCTTTACTTATCCATCCATTCATGATATGTATAGAAAGGCAGAAATTCAGTGGAAACTACATTTTTTAAGTGGTGAGAAAGGTTAAGAAGAAACAAAGATTAAAGTATCACTCAGTGTTCTATACTCCAACCCTGAAATCTGACACTGGCTCGCTAGCTAAATGTTTGACTCACAAGAACAGAATGCAGGATTTTGCACGGTCCTTTTGAAGTGCTATGATCATCTGCTTAAGTTAGAATATGGTCACAGCTGCTTTGTAGTATGTTTGAATACCCATGGCCTGAAGTTTTCCCTATGACTACAGAGATTCATCTTGTTTAATGATCAGCAAACCAAATATTACATTTCTGTTGGAAGTTTCAATGCAATACAGCTAAACCCAACTAAAAGCAGAACCACTTAAGACAGTCCAGTTCTGACTTATACAAAGCCATGATGTTTCTGCTGCTTCCTTTGAGAAATGTTTTATCTCAGCCACATGTGTATAAATAAATCACAATAGCCTATGTTAGGCACTTCTTAATGAGAATTACGTTTCCCACATGATACCCAAGAGTCAAATCCTTCATAGATGCCCAAATTAAATCTTCCCTTTAGCAAAGAAATAGAATGCACGATAGTTACAAAGTAACTTATTTTTAATGTACCTCTTTGTCCTATGAACTTGCAGCAATTTGCAAATCCTCCCTCCGCAGCATAATGAAGCGGCGTGTTACCATTCATAGCGATCAGGCCCACGTCTCCATTATAAGCTGAAATAATCCTCAGAATCTAGAAAAACAGACAATACCACCAAAATCTGGTGTGTTCCTTAAGATATGGAAGTGTGAGAGTGAGTTACAAATAAATGCAGTATCATATATTCTTAGTTTATTTAGTAAAGGTTTCTCCCATGCCCAACTAATCAATGCACACGTAACATTCCATGTTTTCTGTAGTACTCTGCTTATTTCATGCAGGAAATAGAAACCTTGTTCTGTTGTAAACATCAAAGACAATCTCCGTTCCTGTCACCTCCCTGCAGGCCACTGTCTTAAAGTAATTCTGATAATACATGCACAATCAAAACTGCATGATTTTATGTACTTTGAAGACTATTTGGGCAATAAGGAATAAACTGTCTAACTGCAGCCATTTGCATCTGTCCCTCTTGTAATGGTAATGTTTCATCTAAGTTACACAGCAGTGCCATGCTACGTGTTGAGAGAAACAAGGTCTCCAACAGAGCTGTTCACACCAGCCAGCCACACTAGCACACTTGGGAGATACCTTTGGCAAAAAAGGCTCTGCAATTATGAAAGAGATTCTATCACTGCTGGATTCCCTTTGATATTTAAAAAGAAGCTGCTTTTGATGGCTTTGATCAGCTCAGATACTGGACTCAAAAAAAACCTAATCCCACCCAACATAAAAAAAACCCAACCAAACAAAAAAACCACCTCAGATTTGGTATTGCAGCAATGCTTTACCACCACAAATAGTGATACCTCAAAAAAGCCTCCTTTGGCTGCAAAATGTGCAGCACTTTGTCTTTCAAAGTCAAACAGGTTAACATCAGCTCCTCTCTCAAGCAGACCGCGCACCAGCTCGAGAACACCTTCTCTTGCAGCTTCCATTAAGACCGTGCGACCTGTAGCCTGTAAGGTAGCAAGAAAGCAATTCAGTTTGTTTCCTATGCTAATTCAGGTTGGAGCAACATGATCTGCTTGTTGCAAGGTGGCATAAAACTGAAGGTTTCCTTTTAGGTATTACCATAAAAAGGAGACCAGACTAATAGTTTCCAAGATGCTTGCAGGTAAACTTTAAGAATCTAACCATAATGCTGCTAAAGCATGAGTAGACAAATTCCTGTGACGTAGATATATCAGTAGCTTGAGTCTCTTGAATAGTCCTCATGAAAATCAATTCCTTACTTAAGGAATCCTTTGTTCTGCATGTATGTGTAAACATGCTTTCATGCATGTTTACAAAACTTAAAACAAAATCCTATCTCTATCATTAAAAAAGCATAAGGAGCTATGGCTGGAGGAGTGCTAGAGGGAAGACAGGGCAACTGCTGGGGAATTTCACTGCTGTTCTGTCAGGAAAAGTTTCCATTTGAATATATTTGTATATATTTCTAGATAATAGAGTATGTTTGTGATCAGCAGTACCTATGTTCTTCATAGTGGCTGACTTGGATAGATCTGGCGACCTTCCCAAGAACAGAGCATTTCTCAGGTCAGGGATTGCCTGCTATTACCATATTGGCCCACAGCAACACAGAATATCTACTTGCTACTCTAAGGAGGGCCAAAGAGAGCAGTGAGCCATGGATATTGTCCCACTGAACCATATGCTCTTCCCTGCTACCTGTCTTCCTAGCAAATCATTCCTATTATGTGATCAGATATGTGCCCATCATATTACAAAAATAAAAGCAGGTTTCTCATATTGTAGGTACACTGAGTGCCCGAAGATGTGTGTGAGAGGATGGGAGAAGGATGTCTAAACACTGGGTTTTCTATAGCTACAAGCTAGGAAGTATAACTACAAAACCACGACCAAAGCAAAAGCCATGGGTGGCTTTAAGGGAAAGCTTGAGCTCTTTGACTCAATCAACAGCACAGAGCTGCCATCTTTCAGGTCTTTGTTAAATTAAGGAAATAAACAAATAACTAGGACATTCAAAAGAATGAAAATAGTTTCTTATGACTCGTTCCTGCCTTGATGCTAAAACAGTTTTTTCATGCTAGACTCACCTTTTAGTGAGCATTATTTCAACTCTGAAAACCTTAGAGCACATGGAGGCAAAGTACAAATCAGCCCTGCACCACTGAAGTGCAGTGAACTGCAGCTCCTAAGAGCCGGCCAAGTTACACTTTATGTTTGTAAAATAACTGCACTCTAATCTACAGAAATCTAACTCAGGATATGTGGTTCAACCAGAAGACTTAAATCCCTGCTCCTGCAAAAAGGGTGATGCAGAAGAAAGGAACAGGCATGGCCACAGAGCTAAGCACTTGTCACTGCTTCATCATTTCAATGTGAACATTTAAGGTTCTATAGTCATCTGGTAACTATTCTACACTTCTCTATATATGTTCTTAGTTACAGAAATATTCATACTGGGTTTCCTGCACTGGGATTTGCTCCTCTTTCCATAAAATTCAGGCATATTTCTTTAATATCATGAGCTTGTTCACAGGCTTGTAGAAATACAGGCTTCCCATCAGTGGTACAGTTGTTAACATCTGCACCAGCATCCAAGGCAATCTGTGTGCAGTGGTAGTGCCGTGTTGTAGGTAAAAGGCAGTAAAACAGAACACCTGCAAAGAAAACCAGCAGGGATTATGGTGCAATACTAAATTAGTAGAAAGGTTACTTAGGCTGGGAGCTTCACCGCTGAACACACAAAATCCTTCAGTAGAGACCCACTCACTTCTCTGAGGGTACATACATGCAAAAAAGACTTCTAGTTTAGGTAGGGCCTTTGAACTTCTAGGAGTAAATCATGATTTAGTATGACAGGTCATGGGAGGAACACAATCCTCCATCACAAGTTATCTTTCAGATAAGCATTAGAGAGACCTAAAGGCATAGACCTATAGGCATAGACTGCTCAGGGAGAATTATTTCCATCAAAGCTCTTATGGCACAGCTTCTGCTGAGCTGTAAGGATTACCCTCAACCACGGTTCCCCTCTATGGATGGCACACAACATACACAGCAAGTGTGCAACACAGGAAGGGGTCATTTTATGGTATTTCTGGTCTGATAAGGTTCCCTTTTACTTACCTTTCCCTTCATTATCCACAACAGTCATGTCTGCTTTAGCTTTTACTAATATATCCAAAATGAACTCATGGCCTAACTCAGCTGCCTTCATTGCTGCAGTACGTCCCATTTTGTCCTGGACATCTGGATGAGCTCCTTGCTCCAGCAAGAAGCTGCACATATCAATGTCGTTTTTCATGCAGGCCAACTGAAGGGCACTATATCCTTCCATAGGCTCTGTGAAATTAATGAGATTTGGGAATCCATTCTGGACCAGCTTTTCTATTTGCTTCTTGTCTTTTTGGTGAACACACTGAAGAAGTTTGTACACCTGTAAGTTTCGAAGTCTGATATCTACTGGTAACATCCTGGAATAAGATAAAATGGCTTCTTTGAAGGAAGTAATTCCTACATAGAGAAAGAAGAAAAAATGTAAACTCAGAGATGAGATTATAATTACATGCCAGTTAGAACAGGAATCAAACTACATTCAAGGCATGAAAATATCCACTTTAACTTAACAGAGCCCTAAGCTTTGAGTGAATTTCTCTCATTTAGTATACACAGCATATGTAGAGCCTATATAAACACATACAGCACTTTGCAAAATTGTCCTTTCTAATCTTCAAACTGTTATGAAGAAGTCTCACTGAAGGTGAAAATTAAGTTAAGAAACTGTAAGGTAAGTGCTTTTCATTCAAGGAACTGTTATAATCTGCAATTACTTGGAAGCTTAAGGGGAGGCTGAACATCTGTCATTTTAGTACTACAAAGAGAAAAAAATCACAAGTCACACTGTTCTCTGTACTTGCTGAAACATAAAACTGATACTAGCATCACCTCATCGGTATCTGAGCACCTTCCTTTTTTGGTAGCTGATGCATGAACTTCCTGCTGCACAACGTACATAACAGAGTAAACTGTATTTCTCTGCAGCAAATACTCTTGGGGAAAAGACAAAGATGCAGACAATGGGGCACTGGCCTGGAAAAGGTTCCCCCAGGTGACAAGCTGACAAGCTTAAATGTTCTCTCATATTCTTCTTATATTTCCCACTACCCCACAGCAGTAAGGAACTTGGGTTTACTTTCAAAACCTGGATCCTTTCTTCCAACTGTTAGTCATTATTTACAGCTGGATATCACACATCACTTTTTTGGGAACTCCTTTAGATTAACACTTGCCTTTTCTTCCCTTCTTTCTCCCCCTCCCTGAAGCTGCAAACACTGAAGAAGTTACATTCTCCATGGAAATAGGCTAGTAATGCTATAGAATGTAAGCAGCATTGCAGCTGGTAAAATATGTCAGCAACATTCGAAGAAGGCACAAATGGAGATAATACTCAATGCACGTGGATTTATTTTATGGATTATCCTTGTGATTCAGAAGAGTGCTAGTGCTACCTCTTGTACAAACATGGCAGTCTCTGAAGTACAAGCACTCAGAATCAGGATGTCCTAGAGTGCCGTGTTTTCCAGAGGGTGAGATGACACACTTGCAAAACAAAGTGTGAAACCAAAGTGAAATAAGTATGTGATTAGGTATTATTTGTTCCCCACAACCTTCAACTCATTCAGGACGTGAGACTGACAACACACCTTATACTTACTGCATGCTTTCCTTTTTGCTCACAGAGCACTGTATTACACTCCATTACAGCTTTAGCCTCAGTTCAGCCAGATCAGTTTTTTCTGGTGCTTCTGAGATGTTTATCATGGTATTACTTTAATACTTCACACACAGTAACAAAATCATTTCCGTATGCATGAGCAAAAATATCTCCATTACAGTGATGGAGTATGTTGTTATCACAATTCAGCCACCAGCAAGATCCTACCCAGTTTAAAGTCTTTGCTTCAAAGCTTTAAGAACCAACAATTTACATGAAAACAACCGTAACACTTTAACTGTGACAGGTAATATGAAAGTGACTGGATCAAGTTTTATTAGAATTTTCTACAGTAGCAGAATCCAAATAAAACAGGTGGAATTAGAAAGCTCTACCCAGTCAGGTGAAGTTACAAGCAAGTAAACCAGGCTTCTATAATGAAAATATCACTGCAGCATCTTGCAGATTGTCATTAAGTAAATACTACCAACTGTATATACTTGATAGAGTTTTTATTATTTAACCTGTAACAGATGTTTTAATGAAAAATGAGGGACTTTTAATGTGGCTTTGAGACAGGCATCCTCTGGGGAGGGCTTCATGAAGCTATAATCATAAATCCCAAGCTTGTAGAATCTGCTTAGCAACAATTTTATCTGTTGACAAACATCAGCAGAATCGCTACCTCCATTCTGCCAGCTTGTATCATTGTTTTGGTTGAGAGCAAGAACTCATTTCAAATTCAGATTAATCCTTTTCCTGGTACACCTACTATTAAGAAAATCATTTCAGTCAGATCCTTGTTTTCTCACAAAGCTTTCATCAAGGTATGCTGCTGGAGAGGGAAGGTCTGGTGGCCAGTGCTCTCATTCAGTGACTGTCTAAGCCTGGTGCCTGACTGCTGCTGTTGGAAGCTCTTAGAACTCCTTTTTTAAAAAGTTTTCAACATTTTTCAGTTTAAACATTTCAAGTTGAAAACATTCCTTCAATTATCACTATTCACAAACCAGTAAAGGAAATTTTCATGTGTTTTATCTTCAGTGAGAGAAAATAGCTTAGCACTTTCTAAATTTAATCCATTTGCCTGCTGGCCACAGAGATAAGCATGAGCCTTATGTGCCAGCATAAAAGAAACCAATGTCGTAACAGTGTCATGCTATATTTACAGCTTTATATGAATAATTGCACTGGATTTTTGGCTGTGACTAATGTTTAATAGGAATGATGAAGCAAAATCTTCCTAAAACTGAATTCCAGTTTAATGAATAGCCTATAATGCTGAGTTTTCTCTTGAGCCCTTCTTGGTGTCAACCCTTAAGAAATGCTTTGCCTTGGGCAGAGGTCATAGCTTAGTGCTGAGTGAGAGTAGTTTCCATGGCACCTCCTGTCTGAACTGAGCTGGTTTTGATGTCATGTTGAGATACAGCCCTTTGGAAAACTTGGCCCAGTCCTGATCACTGTAAGGACATTCCTGAGGTTATGGCTGGATACTCAAGATGGATGGATTGATGAGTCGGTGGGTGGATGGGATGTGAATTTGTTTCAGGTTGCCTTACAACTTCCAGTCATAGAATCGCAGAATCCCAGACTGGTTTGGGTTGGAAAGGACCTTAAAGCTCATCCGGATTCAACCCCCTTCCATGGGCAGGGACACCTTCCACTAGAGCAGCTTGCTCCAAGCCCCATCCAACCTGGCCTGGAACACTGCCAGGGATGGGGCAGACACAGCTTCTCTGGGCACCCTGTGCCAGCGCCTCAGCACCCTCACAGGGAAGAGCTTCTGCCTAATATCTAATCTCAGTCTCCCCTCTTCCAGACACTTCAGTACTCATCCACACTGGATGTAACAGAGCCCCAATGGCCAGCAGCAGCAGCAGGCAGCCCTTGGGGCCAGACAGTACCTGGCAATCAGGTGTCTGAGCAACACCTGCTGGGACAGAGGCTGCTCCACACCAGGCTCTGGGCTGCTGGTGAGAAGGTGCTGCTGTGCCCAGGAGCAAAGAACAGGGTGAGGGACCAGTCCCATGAGCCTGAAGTGCTGAGAACCCCATTAAAGCCAGGTAAGGGATAGATCTGGTGTTAGCTGATTTTTCTTGGGTTGCGACTTAGAGGGATGGGTGGCTTGTGGAGAAGACTGGCTTTAATGGGAGAGAAACTGGCTGAAATGGGCAGAGCTAGCATTGACCTGCTCTTTACTTACACGGTAAGGACTTCTTTGTCTGACCATGCAGGAACACAAAGTGAGGTAACTTCCAGCCTGTTCCCCTCTGAGAGAGGCGTCAAGCACAAGGGAGGGTGCTGATGTCTAGCGTGGAGTATTACCTTCGGGAGACTGAGGCACAGCAGCTCTGTGGGGCCGCTCCTGCCGTACCCTCCTTCTTTAGCTGGGCCTGCATCACCCGCAGTGCCCCGCACTTGCGTTTCTTGCCCAGGCGTGCCGAGAGGCCGAGTTCAACCCTCACAACCCGCCGGCTCTACCCCGGCCCCTCTCGCCCCGCCTCGCACGGCCTGCCCCGCACCACCATGCCTGCGGCTGCCCGCCCTCACCGGCCCTTGCGGGCACTCACCTGAAGGCCCGCAGGCCCCAGCGGACGCCCCCCTCCCCTTCGGCTTCCCGCCTCAGCGCCGCGCCGCGGCCGCCATTGCCGCCCGCCGCCGCCTTGGCAACGGGGCGCCGCCGCGCGCCTGACCTGGCAACGGCGGCGGGCGGCCGTGAGGGGAGCGAGGCGGGAAGGGGCCGTGAGGCGGCGGAGCCCCTCAGCGCCCCGGCGGGCTGCGAGGTACGGAGCCGCCCGCCGGGGACGGGTGCAGGGTGGTGGTCAGCGGCGGCGGGGAGGGAGGCAGGGGCCGCGGGGCTTGGTGTGGCGGTGCAGGAGCCTGGCCTGTGTGGTGTCAGCAGCGAGGGGTGTGCGGTCAAGGTTGGACGGGGCTTGGAGCAGCCTGCTCTAGTGGAAGGCGTCCCTGCCCGTGGCATGGGGTTGGAACTGGATGAGCTTAAGGTGGTTTCCAACTTGAGCCATTCTGAGTGGCTGGAAAGATGGTCGGTGGGAAAGGACCTGGGGGTGCTGTTAAAGGGCACTGAACGTAAGCCAGCTTGTGCCAGGGCGGCCAAGAAGGCCAGAGGCATCCTGGCCTGTATCAGCACCAGTCTGGCAGCAGGGCAAGGGCAGTGATTGTGCCTCTGCACTGGGCACTGGTGAGGCTGCACCTGGAATCCTGTGCTCAGTTCTGGGCCCCTGACTACAAGAGAGACATTGAGGTGCTGGAGTGGGTCCAGAGAAGGGCAATGGAGCTGCTGCAGGGCCTGGAGCCCAACTGTGATGGGGAATGGCTGAGGGACCTGGGGGGACTTAGTCTGGAGAAGAGAAGGTTCAGGGGGGACCTTATCACTCTCTACAATTGCCTGAAAGGTTGTAGTGAGGTGGGGTCAGTCTCTTCTCCCAAGTAACAAGACAGGACGAAATGGCCTCAAGCTGCACCAGGGGAGGTTTAGACTTGATATTAGGAAAAATTTCTTCACCAAGAGGGTGCTTTGGCATTGGAACAGGCTGCCCAGGGCATGGCTGGCGTCACAGTCCCTTGAAGTGGTGTGGATGAGGCCCTCAGTGCCATGGGTTAGTGGTGGCCTTGGCAGTGCTGGGGAGCGGGTGGCCTGGATTATCTTAAAGGTCTTTTCCAACCAAGTTGATTCTATGACTTCCTCTTGTTGCTTTCAAGGGGGAAAAAGTATTCAGTGTCCTTCTATGGTGCCATGGGGAAGGGGTTGGATGTCATGGCCTTTGATGTTTTCTCACTGTTGACTTACTTTTTTGCCAGACTTCCTCTTCCTCCCATATAAATCACCTCTAACTTTTACTAGAATTACTGGCTACAAAAACAGAATTACAATATCTGTGTATAACCCAGCTCCGTAGCCATCCCCAGAGGGTTTGTGTAGCACTGTAATATAAATGAGGTGTTTTAGACTTGAACTGAAACATAATTATTCATAAACCTGGCTGAAAGGAGAAACCTATTTATTAACAGGAGAAAAATGTCAATGCCAATGAATGAGGAAAAATACTCAAAACTGTTTAAGCAGGTTGAAGCATAACTCATTCCAGAAGGCAAACACCATTAACATTAACAGGGGGACTTCTCAAGCCCTTGGTATTTACTGTCTAATTCCCACATTCAAGTGCCACAAACCATCTGGCCCTTGGTGCTCCTGTTAGGTCAGTAATCATGTATGGGATAATGGCAAAGGCCAGCTCCTGCAGGGAGACTGTTTGTCTTATACCTAGCCAAGACTGGCTGTTGAACTATTTGCAAAACACCTCTAGTATTAGGAAGTTCAACAGAAAAAATTGGGGTTTGATATGAAATCTCTTCTGCCAGGGAAGTGGCGACACGGAGCTGGATGTGTGTCCAACAGCACGGAAAGACAGGTGACGCAAGATATGGCACTGTGTGGTGAGTAACAACAAGAGATAACATCATTTTAGCATAAAGCATTTTATTATTTCCCCTGCAAGGAGTGCCATTTGTACAGTAGATATCTCATGGTAGCACTCTGTAGTGTGAATTGGCTGGACTTAGTCTTGCACTGTTCTGCCTTGGCTGATTGCTTTCCTCTTTGGAAAATACATCTCCAGGCCCTTGTCCTTGCTCACACCAAACAGCTGCTGCAAACATGGCACAGCAGCAGATGTTTTCTTGCTGTTCTCTGTTAGACCTTCTACTTACTCTTGCCACAAACAAGGAGACACATGTATCTTGGCCTAAAGGCCTGGGTGAATTCTCCTTTTTCTCAGTCTATAGAGTAGGGCACATTAAATGCACATTAGAAAGGCTAACACATATATTTTGCAATTTAGTCCAAAAATAACTAAAGATCCTGTCTGAAACACCTGCATGAGTTTACTCTGGGAATTATGGAAACTCTGGAGACCGTAACAAGTGTGGCTACTTGGTATTTCACCCCAAGTGTGGGTGTGTGTATAAGTGCATGTGTACTGGGGGGGGGGATATTTAGTTTTTTGTGATAATATTTATTTTCTCATGGTGATCATCTTTCTGTGAGCTTTTTGAGAGAGATAATGAGGACTCATGATTCAAGAAGCAAAGCATCCTTTTTCAGCAGCTGAACTGGTGTTTCAAAGCAATGTGGCTTCAAGAGCAGAGCATCTCTGCCTTGCTGACTGCTGCTCTTGTTAAGGTACTGCAACATCTCCAAAATAAATAGGATCAAAATCCTATTAGAGAAACTCACAGTATTACCTGCCTTTAGTTATCTCCCTTTATTTATCTCTAAGATAAACAAAGCTCACTAGAGAATATTATCCCAAGGTCTGAAGCCTCAAGCTGTTGGGCTCTTTTTGCCTGACAGCTCAGTTTTGGTGGAGTGCCAAGGTAACGCAGGAATACAAGTGGGATGGTGGCAGTAAAAATAGACTGTACTAAGGAAAGAAAGGTGTAAACTGCCCAGAGCTTTGGAAATATCCTAGAGCCTTGTAGCTGGAGATTACAGTTCCCAGAAGCAAACCTGGGAAAAAGAACAGCACAAATCAAGACACAGTTCGCACATGGTTTGGTACAGACTAAGGTGTCTGCACACTACCTGAGTCTTCATCTGAGAGCAATACTGTCCAGAGGTTTAATGTGGTAAAAATTGGGGTGATTTTGCAGCTGCTCTGTGCTGGATGCTGTAAGCATGCACCCTCCCCTCACACAGGGGCATCTCTGGCAGCTAACGGTCAGGAAGGAGCAATGTCTGCTCCTGGGACAATCCCAGAGGTGTTCCACTTCGTGGTTACCTGGATAAATGCCATCCCTGTAAGCCACAGCAGATAGGTTTTGCCCACTGTGGCAGCATTTGAGAATAAGATAATCAATAATAAATAATTTCCTAACCAGGATTATTCCAAAGAACAGTTATTACTGAGGAGCATGTTTGTCTTCCTCTTGTTTTACACACTCTTAAACATTAATCTCAATTGTTCCTACAATATACATACTTTGTCGTGATAGGTAAAGCCCCCATTACCAGTATGTTCACTTTATGGCTCCAAATGGTCTAATTCCACATGAAAAGATTTCACCGCTGAACAGCGGCTTCAAAGTACTTAAGTACAAAGGCTGTGAAGTTTTGTTTGGTGATAGCAGGAGGTGCCAGACTGGCAGCACTACACAGTCCCTGCATGGAACAAGTGGAATAATATAGCTGTCATCCTCACTGTCACTTGCTGTCTTTGTATTGTTCTGGGTTTTATCTGTCAGAGTAAGAGCATGAGGATGTGCCGACCTCTGGAAGGAGACTCTGTACTGTGAGGATTCTGGTGCTGGTTGGCACTGAAGCACTGCTGACATCAGTGGGAGCTGAGCTACATGATAGCTTGACTTCAGCTGGATGGTGTGCTTGGGGATTGCATGACTTTTACTTGAGCCTTTTACTGTGCAAGTAATTATTGCTGTTACTCATCTCTCTGGATTCTGATGCTACTGCAAAAAATCTGCTGCATGGTGCATTACATCCAAAATCTTGTTCAGATTTGCCAGCTTGGGAGAATGACACAAAGTTACATATTTGGTTAATTCTGAAGGTCATCTGGACTGTTTCTGCTAGGTGTGAGTTGAACTGAGAGAGCATGAGATCAAATCAGGGTGTTAGTATTCCTAAGCATCAAAAATCCTCTCTGCTCACCCCATCCATAACACTGCAGTGGGAGCAAAGTGCTGCTGCTGCAGCTGCTCAGGGTTGGTGTCTGTAAATGGTGGTGATGTCCACAGCAATGCTCACCACAAGTGCAGAGGTATAGGTCTTCTACCCACTGGAACAGCTCACGGCTGGGGCTGGGGAGTTGTCATGGAGGCTTTTCTCAAACTGCACCCTCTCAAGTTAGGGAAGTAGTCTCCGTTTGAAAGGAGCAGTCAGCATCTGGAGATGATCTTTGTTGCAGCACAACCACCTCAAAACTGTGCTCATAGGTAATACCCTGCTATTCCTCACATTAGATGTGTATTTTCTGGGCTCTGCTCTGTTTCTTTTTTGATGACACTGTATGAAGCTGTTAATACTACTCAGATCAATGCACAAGTTACTAAACTGATTTAGCTTGATTTTTTTTTTTCCTCTTCCTGATACTCTTTCTATAATTGCTTATTGTTAAAAACAATGATTATTCTTTCTGCCAATTAATAATGCAGTCTTAGGAATTAGCCCTTGCATAGAAGAGAAAACCCATGGAATAACTGGTGTAAGTGCTTAGTAAGAAAGCCCCACGATGGCTAGAATTTACCTCCTGACCAAACCTCTGTAAAATCCATGTCCATTCATACAGCTAGAAGAGTGCTCCATAACCCACCGTAGTATCACATCTGCTTCTGTACTTGGTTGAGTCACTTGGTTACTGTGTCCCTGGAGAAAATGTTGGGAAGGAAGCTGTGTCTCTCTTGTGGTGGTTGTTTTCAAGGGAAATTTAAGATTTACCAAGCTGTTAGAAGGGTTTATAAAAGCTGAGCAGTCATAAAAACTAATGTGTTCTGCCAAGAAGTTCTCTTATTGAATGCTATGCCAGGAGTGTCTGCAGCAGGTTAGCTGGGTATCGGGAGAGAGGAGTATTTCAGAATTAAAGGTTGTGTCAACAGAGTATTGGTTTTTATCTTTTGTTTTTGTCACCTCAAGTTTTCCTAAAACACTGTAACTGTTGCTTGTTTTGGATGTTGTAAGTACAGGCCTCTTGTATGCATCTGCACTTTAACTTGACTTGAGTGATTTTGGTGTTACTGGGTGAGACGGCACTTCTCATCCAACAATGTGGCAAAGTAGCAAAAGGGATGGTGGGGAGTACAGCAACTCTGCACTTTCCAGGACATGCTTCCAGTTACTGCATGGCCAGGATGAGGGCTGGGATCCGTAGAGTCGGGTGAGCTCTGCAGTGACACATGGGTGGGCAGGAGTTTGGCTGAAGAGCCAACAGCTCTGGGGGTCCTTGGAGTTTGTTACTGACTCTGTTAGCAATGTTTGTTCAATAAAAGCTTCTGTTACTAACCCCACAACTTCTGCACCCTACAAGACATGTGGAGGAGGGAGTGCTGAACCCCTCTCATCACCATTTCTCTGAGGGTCTTTTTCCTATTAAGCTCAGGAGCTCTGAAATCATTCCCCCTCCTTTTTTTTGCGTGTGCTTGTCTAACACTGTGCCTTGGAACACATAGAATTCAGTGGGAGGATTCCAGATGACTTTCAGTGGGAGGCATCAGGCCTGTTAATAACTGAAGATCTGACTCTCTCTTGATCAGTTCTTTATATGCAGATCATAATATTAAAAAGATGAAGGGGAAGAAGAAAGATGATAATTTTATGGCTGTTTTTCAGCTTCCATGCTGACAGGTGAGACAGCAATGAAAACACAAACTGCCTTCATTTGTCCCATTTGTTCTCATCTGGCTTGTCACTGTACCCTGGGTGAGAAACTACACACTGCAAGTTCTTAGTTTTCAGGATGAAGGAATAAATGTTCTGGGGCATTGATCATCTGATGTTACAAGAGGCTACTGAAGCACTGGTCATCTGCTTCACCACATGCACAGCAAATAAAGGAGGAATTTTCAGGCTGAATTTAGTCCACACTGTCGGTATCTGGGATGGAAATCTTTTGGTGGTGCTGGCTCTCAGCAACAACTTATTGCAGTAGGTTTTAGAAATGCAAAGAGAAGGGAAACCGTGTAATGGAAAGCAACATTATCTTTGGGGCATAGAGAAGCACACACATTCTGGGCCTGATGGGGAAACATCTGGCTTTCAAAGCTGCTTGTTGAGTTCAGTGCTACTTACTGTAAGGAAGGGTAATCCACACAAAGAGCATGAAAGCAACTTTTCCAAAGCAGTGTAAGCCTGCTGAAATCTGTAAGGTCAAGCAGGGGGAATTCCTATACAAGAAATCAATTGCTTTAGTTGGAATAAGCCTTGTTCCTATTCCCTTGCTTGGCCTTTCTCAGCTGTGGTTAAATGAGGAGAGTGGATGATAATCATCTGATTATCTTGTTGTTGATGGGCTGTGGAGCAGGTGGGAGCCCTGACTTGTCCTCTTGCCAATGCTCCAGGGATGGTTCCAGCATTTGGAATGAGATGTTCCACAATCTAAACCAAGTGCAGTAAGATGGCAGTTCCACTGCTGAGTGTATCAGGAAAGGACCTGGAATAGTCATGTTTGCTCATCTCACCTAAGTTCCTGACTTAGACTGTCCCTCACAAGAGAAAGGAATTTTTCTCAGTAGTTAATTAGATGTATTAGGAAAGACTTCCTGGGAATAGGATGTGATTTCTGGTTCAGACCAAAAAATCAACTAGGTCAACTTACAATGGGGTCTTCGATTTGATATGGGAGACCTGGCTTGGGGGAGGCTGATGCTCCATGCTGCTGCCCTGTATCTACCAGTGTCACCACAGCTTATCCCAGCTATTCTGGGATCTTTTGGCCTCAGAGTTCTTGGATTATATGCCATGCCACAACCAAAGCCAATTTAAAACTGTGTATGTGTAATCCAGCAATGAATATGATCTTTCTAAGCTACAGGTTCACCTTGGTGTTTAGCTCTCTACTACACTTTAGGTTAAAGCATTGATTAATCCAGACATCAGATAAAAGGTAAGAGTTTATTTAGGATTGAAGATTCATTTGTAAATTGAATATGCTACTTACTTTCCAAAGCCCATGACATACTGGCTTTGTTACATATTTATCCAGAACACCTGAAGAAGTACTGAACTGTAGTTAGCAAAGACACTGTTCCCATATTACTTTATTACTTGACATTTCCTAACTTTCTACAGCCACTTAACTCCATTAAAAGTATTTCAAGGTCTCTATCTCATTCCTAACTTTTCCATTAACCTCTTCCCATCAGCCCTAATAAATTACTACTCAGTATCCTACTGATAAGGTATTTTCATGTCTGCTGTAATGATCTCAGATGTTCAGTTGTCATGTAGGAAATGTTTCATTTTGTCTCCCTCATGTCTGTAGCACAGTAACCTGGTATTGTGTTAGGAAAAGCAGCATTACATTTTCTAGGCAATACCTAAAGCAGCATAAGTGGTTGCGTTGGGTTTTTTTTTCACATGGGAGAAATAAAGTCACCTAAACAAATATATGAATTTTATGTGGGTTCCTGTATGCTTTTCCCAGTGAATAACTGACAGTTCTGACTAGGGAGACCCTCCAAAGTTTGCATCAGTTAATTGGTGTCATTACATTGATTTCAGGGGCATTAGATTCAGTCCTGGCTTTCACATCTTTAAATGTTCATATCTGCCTGAGTCACTGAACAGTACCAAGTTTTACTTTACTCAGAGCGTAAGACAGAACAGAATCCATCACAACAGTTGGGAATAAAGCACACACAAACACCAGTGCTTTCTCCTTCAGCTTTGCTACCATGTAACGTGCCTTGGGTGCAGGAGACATTAAAGCATCTACCATAGCATCCACAACTTCATTGCCCTTAGTGCTTCCTTCGCTCAGAATGCTGTTGAAAAAATTTGCCCGCTCTTGAACATACTCCTTATTGTAAACTGTCTTTTCCTCTTCACTGAGTTCATTCCAGATCTCTTCGGCACTGAGTGGTGGCTGGATCTTTGTGAAGCGTGCATAATTTCCTGGCTGAATAACACAGACCTAAAAGCAACATGTAAAACTTATCAAGATGCAATCAGGCATTCTGAATCCAATTAAATACTACAGTCAGGAAAACAGATCAAAAGCTTTCTGCAGATGTATTTCTTCCAGCTTTATTGAAACTTTAAGCTTGAAAACTTGACTGAAATCAAATATATTCCTGTGAAATGTTTAAGATTGCAGAGGTGCTTTATTCTAACTTCCTCGTTTTGCGCTGATTTAATGTTCTTGTTGTGACTACTCAGCATATCTTCACCAAATACTGTTGTGCATCTTTGATTTTTATAGAATGCTTAATGGTGTAAATGTTTTGACAATACTGATACAAAGCATTTCAGTATGACTTTGATGTCTCCCAAGTGGAATATTTAGGGGGTTTTCACTCACTGGTGGATCTTGCAATTGGTAATTTCTTACCCGACTTTAGGACAAAAGGAGATGTCAAAGAAAATTAGAAGGTCCTGGGGAAAGAAGTGCTGTTTTGCCCACGTATGTCTAGTTAAAAGTAAAATAGGTCTTGTCAGCCAAGCACAAAGGGGACAAAAGGTGCTGGTCTGACTCTTACTGAAATCATTAGCTCATTTTCATAGCTTTCTGTGCATGTGGATTTAAATGGAAAGCACACACATCCTTTGCTGCTCTGCCTGTTTTCTTTGTGTGTATTGCTACTGATGCTCTGCTAACTTTTGAAGCTTCTGAGGGGTATCAGAGCACACTGAGCACTCACAGTGTGCATGCCTGTCCTCAGCAGCGGGCTTGTTCAACCTATTTGTAGCTATGCAACATTAAAAACTCCATGTCATTTAGCTGACCTGATTTCTAAAGACTACAATACAAGGTGAGGAAGAATGGTGCTGAGCCATGTAAGATACTTGGGGGCTTGACAGGCATCCTCTGGGAAGTCTGCGGAACTACAGAACCTTTATGTCTCTCATCTGCCACCCAGCCCATCTACTGGAAGCTACAGTGTGTGTTGGTGATGGGATATGCCTGTCTCAGCCTGCACAGCAGTTGGTGTGCTGCATACCAGAAGAGTTCAGGTGTGGGAGCAGGAAGAGATGTGAATCAGCTCCAGCAGAAACAGTGGGCATAGCTGGGGCATCTTATACATCAAGTTTGTCACAGGACATCTTTGGGAGCCACCCCTTGCTGTTAGCTAAATTAATGCCAATAATAAACTTCCCACATTTATTTTAGACAAAGGGGTTTGGAAAACTTCGTATTTTGGAGTTTTTTTGGAGTTGGCTTGGAGATAAGAAGAGATAGTACTTGTTTTGCCTTCCTTGGTTTTCTGTAGCCTTTCTAATGGAAGACATGCTTTCCTGCAGGCAGCCAGCTTGCCTGGCCAGAGTACAGTGGGACAGAGCCATAACTGTTCCTTGCCACCTTTGGTTGACTTTCTATGGAAAGGACAAAGGGAACAACAGAGCAGGGGAGGGAAGCACAGGGAAGAGGGACCCTCCATTCTGCAGGCTCTCTGCAGAGTAGGTGTTTAGGCAAATGCCAGCCAGTGTCTTGCATACAATGAGAAATAGAATCATGGATACTCTGGAATGTTTGTCAGCCTGGCTCGCTGCATTGTGTGCTGGGGCTATTCCTGGGCTGGGGAACTGTAAAATCCTAAATGACCAGAGTAGCTTACCTGTTAAACTAAGCTCTTCCATGCATTTGAGATTATCCTCAGCTAATCGGTTGGAATCCTCATCATGCTGTGTGGTATTAGGATATGTAAAATCACTTGCATTTTATAGCATTTCATATTTATCCAAGAGGGGTAGTTAACAGATGCATAGCTGTAATTTCTTCCAACACAAATCTTATGAACAGTGTTGTAAATCTGTGTACATAAAGAGTACACCAATGTAAATCCTCCAGGGAAGAGTTTTAGTGTTTGAGAAGAGCATTTCAGCAGTGGAGTGACTCCAAGGAAAGAGCCTAACAAAGCTACTTGGTGATCTAAGCTTCAGGTTTGACTATCGGCATTGCTTAGACAGGGCACTAAGAGCACTATTAGAGCCTCTTAGGCTAAGAGAATAAAAACATAATTACTCTGCATGATACTGCCTTTTGCAGTGCTGCTGTTCCCACAAAAAGGAAGGCTCTTTTAAGCGCTAATGTTGTGAGAGAAGAAAGAAGCCCTCTGGTAGGTGACAAGTCTTCCTTCTCACTGCACACAGCTCAATGTCTGTCTGGGCTCTCTGCTCCCAGAGCCACCCCAGAGAAAGTTTCATTACTTGGACTGTTAGGAGCTCTTCACAGGCCATGGCACTGCTCAGGTAGGCCCGTCTCAGAAGGTTTCTCCACTGTAGAGGATGTGGAGGAAGGGTGGAAGTGGCAGTGTTGGCACAAAGAGAAGACATGCTACTCCACAGCTTCTCAGAACTGCAAACATCACCCAGGTGTGCTTTTCTCAGTGATTTCCAACCAACTGATCAGCCACAGAGGAACCACCTTCTTCCAAGGGGAAGCTGCATCCACAGATTCAACTCCAATTTTATCTTTGTCGGTTACTTTGCACAAGATTAGATGTTATTTTGCATATGCTGCTTCTTGTTTCCTTGGCTAAAGTTTCCACCCTGGGCTGGTCTTGGCTGGGATAAAGTTAATATTCTTCACAGTAGCTGGTACATGGCTGTGTTTGGGATTTGTGCTGGAAGCAGTGTTGGTAACACAGGCATGTTTTAGTTACTGCTGAGCAGCGCTTACACAGAGCCAAGGCCTTTCCTGCCTCTCACCCACCCCACCAGTGAGCAGGCTGAGGGTGCACAAGGAGTTGGGAGGGGACACAGATGGGACAGCTGATCCCAACTGACCCAAGGGATGTTCCAGACTATACGGCATCATGATCAGCACATAGAGCTGAGGAACGGGAAGGAAGTGGGGGGCATTGGTAGTGATGGTGTTTGTCTTCCCAAGTCACCGTTACTTGTGATGGAGCCCTGCTGTCCTGGGGATGGCTGAACACCTGCCTGCCCATGGAAGTGGTGAATGAATTCCTTGCTTTGCTGGTGTGTGCAGCTTTCCTTTTACCTGTTAAACTGTCTTGATCTCAACCCATGAGTTTTCTTACTTTTACTCTTCTGATTCTCTCCCCCATTGTGCTCGGGGGGGAATGTGTGAGCATCTGGGTGGTACTTAGTTGCTGTATGGGGTTAAATCACAACACACCCTCACATCATTGTCTGGTCTTCTTCATGCAAGTTGCCTCCTTTCCCCATAAAAAGATGTGTTTTAACTCTCTAGAAAATTTCAGGAGTAAAACATCTCTCTTTCTCATACGAAAATCAATGTTAGAAAGAGCAGGGAGTTTCACACAACAGCTACTCACTACATCACTTACCTGGACACCAAACTTCTTCATTTCCAGTCTTAGAGCATCACAAAATTTTTCAATAGCTGCCTTGGTCATAGAATAAATGCCATTTCCCAGAGTAAAATAGGCATTAATGCTGGACATGAAAACAATACGTCCTGGAAAGGAAACAGGGCAAATAACTTCACTCTCAGTCTCTAACATAGAATTATTGCTCTAACCTGAGTCTTCTGAGCTGCCAATAACGTGGTATTTAGCATGATGGTCCTTTCCAGATCTAACTATTCTATGATTCTATGCTGGTTTACTACATAATAGGCCAAAGCTGAGCCATATAAGTGTGCAGTGCCCGCACAAATGTGCAGTCAGCTCTGTTAAGCAAAGAACTTCACACAAAAATCTTTCTTCCATCTCATGAAAGATGCTGGACTGGATAAAGTATAACACATCCCCTATGTGCTGCTTATTCCTTCTGAGTCTGAGAAAGGATGGAAAAAAACAGTTCCCTAAAAGCTGTAGACTGAAAAATAGTAATAAAAGTCTATGCTAGTGATAGACTGCAGAGGGGAGGAGCAGATGGTTTTTCCTGCAGTGGATATATGACTGTTAACACAATTTTCTGCACTAATGATATCTGCACTGAGACCTGTCTTACAACTGTGCGTAGAAAGTCAAAATCAGACTGTATAGGGATAAGCTTCACCAGAGAAAGGTGACTTGACAAAATCTGTGCAGCCTCACACTGCCTTGATATAATTTCACTGATCTGTGCTGCTTTTTCCTCCTTTATAACTCTTGTCAAGTACAGGCATGCCCTAAATATCAGGGATTTCTGATTTGAGGCACTGGATTGTGGTTCTTTTCTACTGTTTGCTTGTAAACTTGTATCAGTCATACTATGGAGTGAGAAATGGGTGAATGTGGATATATCAATACCAGAGGTGAGAGAGGAGACGGCCTCATCGTCAGCAATACAAAGAACATAGTTGCAGTCCTATTGCTGCCACAAATCTAAGCAAGTGGTTTAGGCTTGTGGGGTATCAAAAGGGTATCATGGGAATGCAGTGAAATCTGTCATTCTGAATTAGGTTCCCTGCCTTCCTACTCAGTGTCTGGGTTATATCTTGTATACAATAACAGGGGAACAATAACCAGCTTGCTGATCAAGATGCTACATCAGCTGGCCTGGCCAGCTGGAAAAGTTGTGGAAATGGTACTCCTTTCAGAGTAGGATGCTCAAGTTCTGTGCTGGAGGGTAACACCTCCCTTTACAAGTAATAATCTGGAAGTTTTTCTGGAAGCAGGTGCTCATCCTAAAATGGCAGTAAACCCTTCCTTCAGAACTCATCCTGTCCTTCAGAGGCCCTCGGGTAGGATGACCTCTGCCTCCTTTATCCAGTATCTAAGTGATTTGGTACGTGCACTCTGGATGTGGGACACATTTAACTTCTCTCTTTGCCTAAGGTTACTGAAACCCAACTTTTCCAGGAGATTACTTTAACATCCATAATTCAAGCTTTTCATTCAGAGAGGTCACTTGCTGCCCCCCAAAACATGAGCTTTAGCTGTCCTGGCTGTTCCTGCAAGGAAGGAGACAGGAAACCTAGAATTCTTCCTAGAAGTGTCCTGGCCTCCTCTGGAGTGTGGGCAGTTAATAAAGGCAGCATCGACAGCCAGGAGTGAGATCCAGAGTGCTCCTTTGAGCTAAGGTACTATGTATGTGCAGCCATCCAGACCCAAATCTAAAAGTTTATGCATGTGCTTAACATCAAACACACATTTAGTCCCTTTCACTTCAAAGTAACTCCTTGCAATTCATGAAGTCAGACAAATGCCTCTGGTGGATTAGCACTACAGAGTTTTAGCAGTAAGTAGGACATCACAGAAAGAAAAGTAGCATGTTTCCATGTAATAGGCACATAACACACACACTAGGTACATGCAATAGCACATTCTTTTACAAAAACAAATCCAGCTTGCAATATTTAAAGGTTTCTTTTTTCTTGCATCAGAATATTATAGACCAAAGGCAACCAAGCAGAAAGAAGCAGAGAAGACAGACAGGGGATGCTTTTATCTTACCAGCATTTTGTGTAACAGTGGCATGTGGGGCTTCCAGGTGCAACATAGCCCTTACTTTAGTTGATGCTGTATATACACAGAACAGATCCTCACCTTAAAGAGCTTACAACTTAAATAGACAAGCTTAGCAAAAGGGGGAGGAAGGAAGAGGGTATCTTTCTTTCCCAAATACAGACAGGGACAAGTAGGAAACAAACTGCAAAGTAATTGAGACATGCTGCAATGCTGTAAAGGGCTGTTTGAGCCATTTCTTCTCAGAAGAAAGGATAAAGCCCACACATACAGAGTACCATGCAAATGCAGTTATCCCATTGGATACCCACGTGGCTCTGTACTTGAAGTTTCCTGCCCAAGGTCATAAAGAGGATTTTGCTAGGCCTGGAACTGGAGACTGGATGTCATCTTTCTTCTCCTAATTGCCAAACAGTAAAATAGTAAAGCCTAAATAACAAAGTTGAGCAAGAGTTTATGGGTTCTTTGTGTTTTCTGACCGTCAGTGCTTACAAAGTCTTGCCTGAGCTTAATGATTTATTGTAAGCACTTTTTCCTCTCTTTTTTTAGTCAAACACTGAGGTAATTCACTATTAGTAAGTATTTTTCTATGTATTCTAAAGACAGGCTCTTTAAGGGTACTTTTTCCCCCTTACAACTTGACCCTCTTTTCAGGACCAAGGATCAGGATTTCCTTTTCAGGCCACACAGAAGGAGCCTGTCATTTCAGTTCAATGAGAGACAATTAAAGCTTTTTTTATAGATGCTACATTTACCCTGATTATAGTAAGCTAATTATTCTACAACTCTAAATAACAGTGGATTAGCGTTACCCTTGTATTTCCTTAGAAGGGGAAGAAACTCCAGGGTTGTCCTGATGCTCCCCAGGAGATTCACATCTGCAACTCTTTCATACTTCTCCATAGGCAGCCACCCAGTCTCACCAAATGTTGAGATTCCTGCATTGTTGACCAGCCCCCAGAAACCTATGGAAAAGAAAAGGCTCAACAAGCATCTTTCACTGCAAAATAACCACCATTTGGTGACAAAACAGAGATTTGGACCCATGGAAATAACTTTTTAGTTGTGTTATCTTTTCATCTTTTCTATTCCTAAGTGCAGGCATGTTTTATTTCATGAGGGAATGCAACTGTGGTCATTATCTAGACTATATATAAGCCTCAGTGCTATTTAATAATCACTCACTTTTAGTCGTCTTAAGTTATTTATGAATAACATGATCTGGGAGACTACATCTTACTGCCAATGCAATGTACCATGATATTTTAATTACTTTAATCCCACTGTGTGCTATGAGAAGCTTTGTGGAAATTATATTAAGCAGTATAAAGGTTAAGGGGTAGTATTTTCAAAGTGCCTGACTAATTTAGGAGCCTAAGTCTGGGATCCTTTTCCAGGATTTGAGCTTTGATTCCTTCTGGAATCAGCCACAGGCAGGTACATGGGTGCAGCACCGAGTAAAGGAGCCAAATAAGGCCGGGGGCTATGGTATTTTCTTCTTATTTTGTACTCTTGGACAACATTATTCCTCGTACAAGAATGGGTTTTGGTGCTAAGGAGCCCGGATCCCTGAAATGCAGTCAGATTCCAGTGTTTACAAGCAGAAATTTATTGGCAGCAAAGCTTGTTGTGGCACAGGTCTCTGACACAAAGTACAAGCCCTTTAGCCCACAGGCACAGAACGTTTCACATGAGCACTGCTCAGTGCTAATAACCTTCACTGCTTTCTTGTTGAAGTGTTGGGTACATGTCAGTTTGGAGCTGACATGCTGACTTCATGCTCATGAAGCCAGGCTGATTTGTCCTTGCCCTCACAGCACACATCTGTAGATGTACAGTAAAGCAGTGAGGGACATGGTGCTTTTGAAAACACTTCTGTTTCTGCCCTCAAATCCTGACTGCTACTATTTGTAGGGTGACCAGTGGTGTAACTAAGAAGTACACAGGGTAGCCTGACTGGCATGAAATAGCTGTTTGCAGCCTGGTTCTGCCAGTCTTAACAATTGTGCTTATGCTCTTTTTTCAAGAATTGATGAATGTATCTGAGGCAAATTACTGCTTTCTCATACCTTCCTTCATACCTACCTACAGGGGAGATTTAGGTTGGATATAAGGAAGAAATTCTTGATTGTGAGTGTGGTGAGTAACTGGAATAGGCTGCCCAAGGAAGCTCTGAATGCTACATCCCTTGCAGTGTTCAAGGCCAGGTTGGACAGGGCTTGGAGCAACCTGGTCTAGTGGAAAGTGTACCTGCCTGTGGCAGGGGGCTGGAGCTGCATGATCTTAAGGTGATTTCCAACCCAAAACATTCTGTGATTCTACAGGATCTACTCTGCCTCTCCAGAAACCCAGGTTTCCTTCCTTCTTTCCCTCCTTCCTTCCTCTGGACACAGAGTCTGGGGCATGGGTGTGATACCAACCCAACTGTATACTCCTGTGCGTCTGTAGCAAAGTAATTCACAGAAGACCTTTGGTCACCCTGGTGAAGGTGCTGCAGAAACCCTTGGGCTAAACTCTTCTTTCTGTGACAAAGCTACTGGGATGATTTCATGGTATCTTGTCCTTCCAGAGCCCTGCTAAGAACTGCAAACACTGGATTTCATTCACAACAGTTAAAGCTCCAACAGGCAATCTTTTGAATTAGTTTGCAAAGCAGAGCTTTGTAGGCTTTCCTAACATATACACACTACTTATGAGGTTGGTGATTAAACAGGGAAAGAAACAGTTCTTCCAGTGAATGTCTCATATGCAGAGAACACTCAAGATCAGGAATTTAACACAGAACTTGGATAACTCTGTCCTCCGAAGAGAATAAATCATTATTCAGTGGTCTGTCACACAGCAATCCTTGACACTGCACCTCTCTTATAACTTCAGGTTGACCACTGTCCTAGCAATGCAGGAGTTTCTTATGTTCTCACCTCTTTTCCACTGTCCCAGATATTAGCAGACAGAGGAGAGGAAATGGACCAAAAAATTGGCCACTGGAATTGGGCATGCTGGATTTTCTTCTTCCCCCTGCTATTGCCCTGTTTTTCCAGGCCTTTCCATGTTTTCTGACTTTATTTCTCCTTCTTAAAGTGGAACCAGCCCAGTGGGACTGACCTTCCAGGAAAAACAGATCAATGGATTAGAGAGTCCTCTGTGAAAGCTAATATCAGTACTTGCACATGATTTGATCTGTAAATGAACTGAGAACTGTACCCCATCCATTTCTACTTAAGGCTGGAGGTCTCTGTACTGAGGTTCATTTTTACCTAAGCTAGCTAACACAACACAAACTAAAGCCTAGCACCACTGTCAAAGCTGTTCCCTCACCTTCTCAGCTTCACCTTTGCTAATAAAAAGTCATTTTGCTTCTGCCATTACATCCTACACAGCACAGCGAGAACGCTTGCTCCACACATCCCTGAATTCATTAGGGCTCCGGAAATCCAGCTGTTAAACTTCAGACAATTGATTTTCTTCTTCTTTTTCTAAACTGTGGAACAGAGAATTGAGCTTGCAAGGCTTAAGTTTGCTTTCCAGGCATTCGCCTCATGCACTTCAAAGGCTCCATGTGGTTAGTGGTGAGGGCAACATGTGTGTATAAAAAGGCAGAGTTCACAGACTAATTGCTCCTTCTTTCTTTGCAGTGGCCAAATCAAAAGTCAGGAGGAGCGAAAGTGGCTTGAGTTAAATAGGAACAGGCATTTCTGAGGAGAAGATTAAGTAAAACATAAGAAAAGGGATTTTGCTCAGGGTCAGCTCAAAACCTTCTGATTGCTCTCAAGCAAAACCTGTTGTTTCTTAGAACATTTTGGCATTCCCGAATGGGAAATGTTCTGATACTTTCAAAATATTTTCCTGCAGTTTTGATTAGTTGAATCAATTTGCAGAATTCTACCCAAATAACAAACAAAATTATTCCTTTATGCCACTTTTCTGGCAAACTTCCTTCCTCCTGAGAAACAACCTGCCCAGATGTGTACTCAGGGTTCTTGAACCTGCTTTGGTCTTCCTTTGTGGTAAAACTTGATGCTATAAATGTGCATACAAAAAACATCATGCATTCACTTAAAACAGTTCAGGTAACCTAGGAAGCACAGTCCTTAGATGGAAATCAAGAAGGACAAGGCACAAGTAAGAATCAGACAGCTGAAGGAGAAAAACATTACATTTCCTCAGTGCCCATGCACAGACACATGAAGATAAAGCAGCTGATGTTTGATCTGGAAGGTCAAGCACAGTTTAGGAAGAGGGATGTTAAGACTATGCCACATCAGGCAGGGGATAAATAAACTGGAAAGCAGAACTGGATGTCAAAGAGATTTTCACTGATCTCTGTCCTGGGAAAATGGATCCTGAGGACAAAGATTAAAAGATATAGCCAGGGATCTAAAGAATCACTTTAAGAGTCCTAATTTAAGATTAGCAAGGCTTTCAGGAGACCACTAGCTCTCACATAACCTCCCAGCTAATTTCTATTTCAAGACATGTTGACCAAAAGGCACATATTCAAAGCCCTTATTTAGGCAAAAAAACGATGCCTGTTTTTTTTCCAGAAACTCTTAAAAGTCCTCTTCCTATGCAAGTCAATCAAGCTGTGTGCTTGCAAAGCCTTTTGGAATCAGGCCTTTTCTGTGTAGGTGCCTATACACAGATAGTACCTGAATTTGGCCAGATTTCCTGAACTCTAGCATGTATTCTTGGTATCACTGATCTTTGGAGTTTCTTGTCTAAATCTGAGCCCATGCAAAAATGACAAGCTCTTTCCTGAAAGATCCCAATCCAATACTAAAGAAAGTAGCCAAAGGAAGGAGAGTGTGATTTGCCACATTCATACTGAAGAATGAAGAGACGGAGCAGAACAGTCTGTCTGTGGCAATACAGGGTGTCCATGGTAGCAGGCCAGCTGAGACTCCCAGATTTGAGATACATACATTCATGACTCACCATCCTTTGCCTGGAATGTTTTGCTGTGGTTGTCTTCATTGCAGGGATGAGTCTATTTGTATAGGAAGTTTGGGCTAAAATATGGCAGCATGTGGCTCCTGGGTGGATTCTGTCAATAGGAAATCCTAAGTGGAGGAGAGTACTTAATAGCTTTGGAGTAGGAGGTAGGACTATAACTAACAGCCCTCCCTTGCAGCTAGCTCCATGTCACCCATTCACAACAGGCAAGAAAAGGAAGAAAAAATCATGTTTTAAACAAGAAAAAGAAAAGAAGAAAGAATAAATTTCTTCTTTCTAAGCAAGAAAGGACTCTAAATATTTTAGAAAGTTGTCTTATGGGCATCATCTTATGGCACACAAGCCATAAGAACAAATAAAGGCGTCAGAGCCAGGAGATTTTCATGGAGGAACAGTTAGTTAGCTCTAGAGCGAGATACCTGTCATGGAAATTGATTTGCTCTTCTTTTCAGATTGATGTAATTTCACAGTCTAGAATAGGACAAATACTTCCAAGGAAACTACCTATGGAGTGGCAGAATATCCAGCTAGGTGTGCTACCAGTAGTTTGGATTTCTACTCTTGCATAACAGAGAAAGAAAACAAGGTAGAGCTTGGGTGTTATGTCATGGTTATGGCATAACTAGAAGGTGAATATACGTGTCCAGTGGAGTCCACAGTTAGGTGGTTGGGTTCTTCATCAGATTCTAGGCAAAAAATAACAAGCTTTACAGTGCAGAACTGCAGTGTCTTCAACTTTGGTCTCTGAAGTAACTAAAGTCTGCTGAAAAATAAGATTCATGAGGGATTTGAGCTCTCTGCACCTCTGTTCATTGTCAGCTCCTTGTCTGGAGAGCCCTGCGTTGTGGATGGAACACTTTTCAGGATGGAGACTCTCTTACTTTATCCATATATGAGGTCTAGAACAAGAGTATGTGATGCTGACAATAGGGATCAAGATGCTTTATGGAAATAAAAGCAGAAACAAAAGCATTCTGCAAGTTTGAAAGGAGGAATATAGTGTATACAGACATAACAAATGTGAGAAAACATGCTTTTTTCATCAACTACAAGAAAAGATTTCAGATAAAAGATGTTATTTTGGCTTATCAGTCAGATTGAGATGACTTGGAAGAAAAAGCCATGCTTGTCTGAGATGCACAGACCATGGTAAGGATGATACTGTGATAGTAAAGAACAACAATTTAATCTCTCCCAGGGTTTACTCTGAGCTATTTAAACACAGTATGTGAAAGTAAGCATTGTTTAACTGCTTCCTCTCTGTTTTGGTACATCTTCTGAGGTTGAATTTGGAATCCATAGCCTTTGCACCGTTACCATTAAACCTGGAAATTGCTGAAGTGGTTTCCTGGTTTCCTTGTTACTATTTTGAGAACCATACGGAAGTGTTTTAGTGACCTGAATCTGTAAGTCCAGCACATGATGGTACCTGAATGAAACTCTCACTGTGGAGAGTTCTTTAACTGGTGGGGACATCAAGGCACCTCTCTGCTGCCCACCCTTTGGGAACCTCTGGGTAGCACATCAGATGTTCTGTGCAGTCACATAATTATCTCATAGCTACTTTAAGAACATAAATGCAATTACAAACGATTCTGAATTCTCTTTCATTTATATTTCATTTAAAAGAATCTTCATCTGAAATGTAAAACACCCACAATTCCTGTCTTTAAAAACTGAACTGGTTAATATGAGAGCTAACCTTCAGCTGGATCATGAAATTGAAACTGGTTTATAAAGTTAAAATACCAAAGCAAACACCTCATCTATTTTCAGAGGTGCCAAGAAGGAACACTCCTACTGAAGTCTTTTGCTTAAAGACTGTACGTAAGTGGAGTGTCTTCACAGTCTCTTCACATTTAAGATAAAAATATTTATGCCCCTATATTTTATAAATTATGAAGAAGACTTGTGCCATTTACTCCATTAATATCTGACATTAAAATAACTGCTTTGTTCCTTTCTGCTTAATAAGCTTAGGAGGAAGATTACTTCATAGAATCCTAAAATGGTTTGGGTTGGAAGAGACCTTAAAGCTCATCCAGTTCCAATCCTTGCAATGGGCAGGGACACCTTCCACTGGAGCAGGTTGCTCCAAGCCCCATCCTACCTGGCCTTGAACACTGCCAGGGATGGGGCAGCCAAAGCTTCTCTGGGCACCCTGTGCCAGCGCCTCAGCAACCTCACAGAGAAGAGCTTCTACGTAAGAACTCATCTCAATCTCCCCTCTGGCAGGTTAAAGCCATTCCCCCTTGTTCTGTCCCTACAGGCCCTTATAAAAAGCCCCTCTCCAGATTTCCTGTAGGCCCCCTTCAGGTACTGGGAGACTGCTCTAAGGTCTCCCTGGCACCTTCTCTTCTCCAGGCTGAACAAGCAAAACTCTCTCAGCCTGTCTCTAGAGCAGATGCGCTCCAGCCTTTGGAGCATATCCATGGTGCCTCTGGTCTCGCTCGAGCACATACACGTCCCTTGTGTTAGAGGCCGCAGAGCTGAAGGTAGGGTCTCATGAGAGCAGAGTAGAGGGGAAGAATCACCTTCCTCAGCCTGCTGGTCACACTCCTTTTGATGCAGCCTATCATACGGTTGGCTTTCTGGGCTGCAAGTGCACACTGCCAGCTCATGTTGAACTTTTCATCGACCAACACCCCCAAGACCTTCTGTTATTACTTGATAACTGGGAGTTGACCCAAAAGGCAAATATGCTGTCTGGATCTGTAAAATTTGGTTTTCTTTTCTGCCTTTGCAGAGTGCGCTCACAATGCTGCAGCATAAGTACTGACCAACAGTGGGAAAAGGTTTCATACAGTGTGTGCTCTGCCTGCACAGGCCCAGCCCTGCAGCAGGGGCTGACAGTCCAGGGAAACCACCCTGCATGCATTGTGTCCATGCAGTGTTTCAGACCCAGTTGTGCTCAAGTGTCTTTTCTGGACATTCTAAGCAGGCTCTTATGTCCCCAGTGTGATTTGTCTTGGTCTGTAGGTGTGTCCACATGCCTATAGGCAGCAAGGGCTCCCAGCAGGTCAGTACTGAACATGAGCATTACATACTTTCAGAATTACAGGATAAATCATCTGTAATCCAGAATTTCAGGTGACTTGGTCCCCATCGAGCCTCTAAGAGCTTTTATGAGTCATCTGTGTTGTCTCTGCACTTGGGAAAGAGCCCAAAGACACTGCCTCTTAATCAGATAAGATCAAAATCAACCATAAATACATGTACTTGATGAGCAGCACCAAGGCTTTTTCATACTTCTTGTTTCATCCCCTTCCCAACATGCTGATGAGCCAAGCAGGCAGAGGTCTTGCATTTCATTATTGTTCCACATGCTTTATTCTCTTCTTGTTTTCCCTGTGTCTATACAGAAACTGTATTTCTGAAGGAACCTTACTTCCAAGCCTGATTAAGTGTGCTCTATTCCAAGTGTATTCTCCAGCATCACAGTGAGTGACTCTCGCCCTGCAGTCAAAGGGGAAAAGGAGGTACCTGTGGCCCATGTCCTGCTGTGTCTCATGTGTTCTGGGTGGATAACCCAAGATTTCAGTTGTCTGCAGTTATTTTGCAAGTTAAAGTCTATCCCCTCCCCTGGGTGTATACTCTCTATAGGGTGTATAATGAGACAGGTTTCCTTTTAAGTGATCCCTTGAGGGACCAGCTTGACAAACTCCAGTTGTACCAATAGCAGCTGGTTTGGTGTGGCACAACAGCTTCCTTCTCTGCATTTCCTTGATTATTCACAAATCATGCCCTGCAATACATCACCTTCCCACCGCCTCCAGTGAGTGCTCTTTGCTTTGCCTGCCGTTTCCTCCTGTCGGATCCCTGTAGAGGGCTTCAGGGACCCCGCACTCGGGCATTTCCTCATTCATTGCCATTGTAAGCAACTATGGATGGACCCCAGTTTGTGCCACTCAGCCGAGCACCAGCGCGGGTTTAACTCTAAACCACTGTAGTTACCGACATCCGGAGCTGCCGTTAGCCCCGTCCGTGTTGGCGCTCGCTGGCCACAAGCCGTGGCGGCCCAGCGGACCCTCCCTGTCCGCCGCCCCTCCAGCCCCGGCCGCCCCGAGGGGCGGGTTTCGGGGCTCCGCGCCGCCGGTGCTCACCTCTCTCGGGCAGGTGGCTGAGCACCAGCTCCTTGGCGGCCAGCACATCGCGGGCGCTGGTGACATCGAGCTGCAGGACGTGCAGGCGGCCGCTGCCGCCGGCTTCCCGCTGCAGCCGCTGCGCCCCGTCACCGCCGGGGCAGAGGCAGCCGGCGAACACGGTGAAGCCGAGGCGGTGGAGGCGGAGCGCCAGGAAGTGCCCGAAGCCGCTGTCGCAGCCGGTGATGAGCACGGCCCGGCCGGGCGGCTCCAGGGGCACCGCTCCGCGCCGCCACAACCGCGGCAGCAGCAGCAGGAGGAGGAAGAGGAGGACGAACGGGACCGCGGCGCACATGCCGCCCGCGCCGCTGCTGCCCTGTGTGGCGGGAGGGAGCCCGCGGGGGCATCCCGACATCCTAACATCCCAACACCCCCTCCCCGGGTAGCGGCGGCCGCACGCACCGCCCTCGCCCCGCCCGCCGCGGGGTGCGAGTGCCGGCCGGTCCCCAACCCCGCCGAGCGGCCGCGGTGGAGGGCGCTCCTCACTGCATCGCTGCGGCTCCACGGTCAGCCTTGTTCTCATGGGTACCTTGTCTTAAATACCTCCTGTATCTGGTCGTGACAGGGGGGTTTCAGAGCTGGTGGTGCTCCGCTGTCCATGGCTCTCTAGAAATAGCAGTGGTCCCTGCAGTCAGCTAGGTTTTAATGTTTGTGTGGGGATGTTTTTGCACTGACAGAGGGTGTTTTGAACAACATTCTAAGGAGAAAGGGAATAATTACTGTTTAAATCTCTTTTCCATGTGTCTTTATTGGCTGCTCCTCTGTCTAGATTTACTTTAGCTTTAAATCAGTGAGTTCTCTCTCTTCTGCACTGTCAGGACTCCTGCAGGCATTGTGTAATAGGACTTAAAACCTCAAGTGACTTGAAAAAGGAGGTTATGCTTTGCTGCTGGGAAACAAAGTAGGAAGGGGAATGGTTAAACCCCAAAGAAGATCTCCAGATACTTCTCCTCAGTAGGATTTCTTTGATCATGCTCCATCACACTGGGAGATGCTGCCCTTTTTTAGCCTTCAGAGATCAGTCTTCTGCAACTATATGAGTCACAAAGATTTGTCTTTGCATTTAAAAAATATTATGCAACCCTCCAAATTATGAGAGTTGATAAGAGCCTGTCCTCCAGCCAGCTTCCCTGTCTGGTTCCCTCTGGCATAGAAAGATAGGGAGGGATTCCAGGCTCACCTTCTCTATACCTCCCACCCACCTCTCCCCTGCATCTGCTATTCTTTATTCTCTCAGCTTCGGTGTTCCATTAACAACATGAAGATCACAGGCAGTGACAAAACCATTCTCACAAAGGGTAAAAGGTGACCCAAGTAACCTCTGGCTCTTACTATGTCTCAATTCCAAGTACACTTCAAAAGGTATTAAAATATGGCACACAAATGTTGCATCTGAAGACAGGAGCAGTGTGTTGTTGTCAGAGCAACAGAATAATTTAGGTGGAAAGGTATGGATTAGAACTGTATCCTTCACAGAAATGACTTCATGACTGTCTAGTCCAGTAAATGAGGCCACTTAGGTCTGCAGTGCAGAGGATTTGCAGTAAAATACCTCCATTTGTTGGAATGGTTTTCCTCTGGTTTATATCATTCTGTTCCTAACTCAAATATATACATACATGTGTACACACACACGCATACATGTTAACAGTCATATTGGATTTATGACTGAGTTTTTTGTAGTTTCTGAAATCCCTTTCCTATCTCAAGAACTCATTTTAAGTAAAAACCCTCTAAGTTTTTATCTCTATCTTGTACCTCATGTAATTCAAGGCAATTGTGGTTTACATGTTGCAAGTTTAAGCAGAGGTCTGGATTTTGAGGGAGTACATGAGGAAGTGGAAGATGCTTAGAGGCTGGCACTGATTGAAGATCTGGACAAGTCTGCACCTAGAACATGCCCAGGGATCTTCCACTCTTCCTGGGAGCCTTTCTGGGAACAGCAACCTGTGAAGTTTATGCTTAAAGCTTCCCTCCAAGTCACCCAGTGAGTTTCACAGTGTGAAATACCAAGTTCCTACGGTTAAAAGGCTGGAGAACAAGCTTCCCAAAGGCATTGTCAGCTCTTCTTAGGGGGTGAGATAAGCAGATATTCAGAAGTGCTGCATTCCTGAGGACCAAAGTGGCTGCAGTTCTTCCACACCTTGGAAAATAGGGCCATTTTCAGAAGTGCGAAGCTATGAATTTAAGGCATATAATATTAGGTTCCTCTTGGGAAAAATACTGCTCAGATCTTACCAGCTGTGTGTTACTGCTCTGAAGCAAATTAGATAGAAAAAGTGGTGCTATAACTTTTTTGTTGAGCAGGGAATTGTTGCCGTGTTGTCCCTACCCTCTAAAACACACAGTGCCTTTCTAAGGGACTGTCAGTTTGTACTCAATGACTGGAAAGTACCACAATAAAGAAGAGCTGGGGTGGGCTGTGCTCATCCAATGCAGACCAGCACTTCCAGCTTGACTTCAGGAAAGAAAGATCTGCTTTTTACCTAGTTCCTAAGCAGAAGGTTAGTAGCTGTGAGGAGCAGAGCTTGCTATGGGGCATTTAAATAATATGCACAGATCTTTGTCCAGCATAGCTACAATACAAATCAAGATACAAGGGAGGGGAGGAGGCAGTGTAGCTTTTCTCTGTCCTTAATCTCCTTCTGATCTTTCTGTCTCTTCTCCTGTCTAACCACCTCTGTTATTTTACCTGTTCTCTCATTCCTGTTCCCTCAGCTCCCATGCCACTGTGGCAGTTGTATGACAAATTGGAGCCGTCTCAAAATCTGTGTCATGCTCAGTGGTACCCACTGTCAGTAGTGGGTAGGAGGGATAATAGTTGATGTCTTTATAAGAGCCTCAATTCTCCAGCATTATCTGGAAGTCATTATTCTTTTTATTTCCTGAAGCAAACATGAGACTTTGATGTCTTTTCAGGTAACTGCAGAGCCTCCCTTGGCTTCACAGGGGGCACTTCTGGTGCAAAGTGTCTCTTTGTAAACGCTTCAGGAAAGTGCTGAGAAAGTGGCAAAGTGCCTCCTCAGAGCTCCAAATAACCAAGCCAACCTAGGAAATGATAAACACAGAGCTGTCTTATTTAACCTTCTTACACTTTGGAAGACAGTTTCATGATGGGGTACAGGATCTGGATTTCTGAACCATAGGAGCTGGCTGCGTTACAAACAACTTACTATGAATGTGACTCTTCTTGCCATCATAGACTCATAGAACCGTAGAATGGTTTGGGTTTGAAAGGACCTTAAGATCATCCAGTTCCAACCCCCTGCCATGGGCAGGGACACCTCACACTAGACCAAGATTCCGTCCAACCTGGCCTTGAGCACTGCCAGGGATGGAGCATTCATCACTTCTTTAGGCAACCCGTTCCAGACCACAGACCATTAGCTTGCCTCTTGCCATTGGACAATGAATGCTGCTGACCTTAGCTGAGACTTTTTGATAGCGTTACAGTGAAAATGATGCTTATCTAACAGAAGAAAACATAAAACTCACCTTGACCAGCCAGTTTGGATAGAAGTTTAGCAAAATACATTCCTGCCTCCTGATGCTAACATGCAAATGACACTGCTTGCTGCAACTATCCAGAAGCAGAAATGGAATATGCTTCTGCACGCAAGGCGTCAGGACTGGGAAAACTAGCTTTCCAGGGAGAAAATGAAGAGTGTATTTGACAGCCAAAGACATCCTGAACAGAAACGCTTGCAGGTTTTAAGAGCTGTGTGTCCTAGTTCAGATTCAGCCAGTGAACGCTCTGCTGGGGTGTCAAAGGAAGGGAGCCAGCTGAAGGTTGTCATTGCAGGTAATTAGAGAGGAGCAGTTGCATGTGGGCTGTGCATGGGGAGTATCAAGCCTTTGAAGCCTAAGCAGGGTGTCTGGTTCTGGATAATGTGATGAGCTGTATTAAAATCTTACTGGATGTTTTTAAAACCCCTGGGCTCAGTCGACAAAACAGACTTTGGATGTCACTTGTATTGCTCAGTGTGTCAGAAAAGGGAGATGGTTTCCTTCTAAAGGGCAAGGCTGGAGTACAGCTCCCCGGGAAATGTTGTCAGATACCGCGTACAATATCCAGTCTATTCCAGAGATGAAGTCTTCCGTTTGTCAGAAGTTATTTTATTAAGTCCCTAGGATTTAAGTCCTTTCTGGTAGTAGTGGAGTAGTAGCAAAACAAAGAATGGGAGAAGGGAGGGAAATTCTCTTAGAAGCAGGAAAATCCACCTTCTCCTCTAACCTGAAGTGACTGATCCTCTTTAAACTGGAACAGCGCTGGCTCAGGGACAGATATATCATGCTTCAGCTGGTGTATCCTTGTGCATCGGCAGCGTGGAAGTGAAAAGACATCCTGTACCTTCCAATTCCTACATTCCAGAAAAAAAACTTAAACGCTGTGTGTTTCTCATTTCTAACTTGCAAGACAAAGTTGGATGACTTGAAAATGCTACTTCAAAATGACCCAGAGTGAGACAATACCAGGACCTTCCCTCCTTTCTGAGGGTTTAGCTTACTGCTGGAAGGACAGAGTGCTCATCAAAGCACCAGGGTCCATTAGCAGTTTTTAAGATCTGCATGTCTCACATCTGAACTGGAACCTCTTAAATCAGTACACAGATTTCTGTTACTTTTGGCTGCCTGATTGCACTGCACTGGTACAGTGACAGAACAGCAGTACCTGGAGCTCATACGGTGGCATGGGCAGTGAGGTTTTAGCTGGTGTGTATTTTGAGCTTGCTGTTTCTGACCTCAGTATTCTACACTGGCACCTATAAATTTGCCTGTTAAAGCTCTTACTTTTATAGAAAATGTTACAAGCGGAACAGCTCCATCATCTCTGCTCCTCTGTAACCTTCCAAAGCCAGGGACCTGAAGGTTTGTAGTTTGCTTTAGCAGAGCAGAATAGTGACAGCACCGCGTTACTTGCACTTGGGAGTTGTTATTTCCAGGGAATGCATGTGCGAGACGATGCCCACGAGATGGCAGCCTATGCAGTGGGAAAACGGGCCCTGCTTCTACCGGCAGCAAAAGAGGATTTCCCTGTGCGTGTGCCACCTTCGCTCTGCAGGCAAAAGTGGCCTCTGCTTTGCTCTGCTCCCCAGCACGCTCTGCAGCAGGTTTCAGTGTTCAGATTATGTCGTACAGATGTGCCAGCTCTCACCTGCACCACAGGATCAGGTGGATGGGGAGCAGTGAGACACACTGACAAGCATGGGAATGCCACAGAGAGACCAGACAAGCTGGGATGTTTTAGAGGTATATCCCAGAAAACACAGAATCTGGAGGGGAATGCAATGAAAGAGGCAGATAGGCAAAAAATATTTCGTGCTGATTAGTGACAAAAGTGCTCTGAGTCAGCAGTGCAGTAAATACACATGGGCACAGGAGGGTGCTGGTCTTTCTCTGTCTCAGCATAAGCAGTAATGTCTCGCCTCTGCTCCTTTGTGCCATCAA